CTGAGTATCCTCCGCTTGAGGAAGCCGGTCCGTCACTTGCCGGATGGAGAGAACGACCCAGGATCCAGAAATCCGTCCTTGTGGCTGGTATCAACGGAAATCCCGGTTCCATAGCGCCACCGCTTCCACCAGCCATGCCGCGCTTGTGCCATTCCCCTTTTGGACCCACCGCCAGTATGCGGCATCTGAGAACACTGGATGGTACTCCGTCACCGCAAGCTGATGCACCGAATGCGGACGGCAACTGGTTTCTTGGTTGATGTGCTGATGATTTATTGCTTCACGGGGTTTACGAATTATTATGACGACTGTGCGAAGAATACAGATACATGCACTGTGGACATCAATATATTATGAGTACTATTTCGTTACTGCGCAATGAATATTGTGAGTAATTAAATGCGTATTCACATTATAATACGTACGAGTAATAAAGCGATCATGTAGTATGTTATAATTATGTAGTATACGAGCATATTGCATGTACATATGTAGTATATTGCACGTGAATGATGTCGTGGATTTTTGTTATTGTTACTTGTATAATACGCAACTGAAATTTAAAAATTACAGCTTGTAGGATCCTCTTTCTACTTACCAACTTACCAGGGGTACAATTGCATGTTTTATTAGGTTTCTTAGTATGTTTTTAGGTAATTAGGTGACAAGGAACTGGTTCGCAGATATCTTTCCAATTAATACTACTTCTATTGCGGCAGGTGTACGGTACTGCGGCATTTATATATGTACCGCATCGGCACCATATTGTCAATTTTGAAGTTCTCGAACGGTTTGGAAGAAGTTGGTTATCGATTTATGAGGAAGATTTATGATCACTTGTCAGGTTTTGATGGTTCCGTTCACTCCCTCACTTTGCTGCGAAATTGGGGAAACATATGGACGATGCGTATTGGGCTGCGCTGGTACTGTTTCCGTTACATCACATTTCTTTGATAATACCTGGACAATTAAGGATATGCTGACCGTACTGGTTCTTAAATTCATTCTTAAATAGAAAAAAGTTATTCAAGCGAAAAACGGTAGGGGCGACGAGGTCAACGAGGTCAACAAGACAAGATGATTGTGCAGGTGTGATTGTGACTCCCTCTACCAGTTTAAATAGACAATGAAGTACAAAAGCTCTCGAAGCTCGAAAACACAACGGAAATATTTTAACGCATTTGAAACTGCCGGTAGCGAATATACGGGCGCAGAACAGTGGTAACAGACTGGCAGTGCGGCAAAAGGCAATTAAGCTCTTATATCATGAACTATCCCTGTATCCCCGTAAATTGTTAATTAATTAATGTACACCATTTGACAGGAAGCGAAGAACAGGCAGTTGGTCTGGAACGGACACTCTGTTTGTCGAGGGGTAGCCGGGTAATGTATCAAAGCGCCAGTCGGTCAATAAAGCACCGTGCGACTACATTTATAGTGAAGCGATTTTAATAATGCCACAACAGTTGGCTTATAACATTAAAGTGATTAAACACACAAATTTTGACTACCATGTCTGCCCATAACCTCACGCTGCACTGTACTTTGACCATTTAAAATAGGCTCCATATTTTGATAGAGGAGACTTGAAAGTTTAGTCTTTACAACCAGCAAAAGCGCCAAGACGAAACACCTCTGCAAACCGTGCCTTAAGGACACGACATCTGCAAAAGACCGATCTAAATGACACAAGAGAGTACTGTACCAAAATGCAACCCAAGTACGAAAACTGCAAAGTTTCGTCAACTACCACAGCACTGGCCAGTGCTACGGCCAGTGCTGCGGCAGTTGACCAGTATAAAAACGTGTGGCTATAGCCGACTGTCCTCCATTCAGTGGCCAGCGACAGGCCGGCCGGGCTGAATTACGAACTGTCAGATCCTTCTCCGAATCAATAACGTGCCTGCAGGCTGCATCGATATCGGTGGTTATCGATCTGTACCTGGATCGGTCACTGTAATTACTCGTACATACTACTAAACGAGAAGCATAACTATCGCCATTTCGCATTTAGCGCTTTCCAGGTTTGGCCAGCTACTCTAGGAAATTAAGGGGAGAACACTCGGACGAGCAATATACGTAAACCGTTTTCGGCCTCGTGTTTACGAACACACCAATCGGCCTGGCTGCCTACTGCCTAACGCGACGACGCTGCATCTAGCTATGGACCACACAACTGCAGCGTTCCATTAAAATCTATACATCATGAGAAATCAGATAAATAAGAATTTGCTTATACTTTGCTTTTTATTGCAACATTCGGCAAAATATGCAGTTGCACAAATCATAGCACAGAATTAAGTGAGTGTGCCGCCACAGCCACCGCTCGCGAACGGCATTTACACCAGGAGTTCCGTGGGTGGTGCTTGCGCTCGCTACGGCCCACGCGTGAGTGATTACTCATCCTGTCATGATCATCCACTTGTTTCTGTTGCAGTTTGTTCAGGTTTTACTGGAATTTTGCTGTGTTCCTCGTGGTCATGCTACGTTCATACCTGACTTGATTTATTGATAATTTCCATTCTTCCCCTATCCACTATCTATCCATCTGCGGGATTAGCGGCTACTGAGGATTCCAGTGCCTGGACTGATCGTGTCGTTGTTTACGCGCAGCAGATCAACCTGATCGTTGTGGTTGGAATCAGCGTGTAGTCAGGCGCTGTTGCTGATCCGGGATCTTGTCAGGCTCGCATGGTGTCTACTCCCTCGAGGATGGTGAGGAGTGTGTGTTGCGCGTGTTAGTGCTGGATGGATCGTCTACGGGCCCGCTTCCGATCCTTCCACAATAACGAAGTAAGTCAACAGCCCTGACAACAACAACATTCGGGAGGCGTGACAGCGCAGTGTGCTGGTCTGCAGATCATGTTGTCGCCGTCGTCGCTGGAGAGCAGCAGCAGCCAGCTGGATCTGGGCTCCTCCCTGGACAGCTCCAGCCTGAGCAGCAGCGTCAACGACCGCCTGCCGCTGCTGCAGCAGCGCAGTCTCTTCCGCAGCTTGAGCGGATTGGCGCGTCGCCGCTCCCCCCGCCCCGAGGCGCCGGACGCCGAGGGGGGGCCGCCGCCTAATCTGGTGCGGCGCCTGACCACCTTCTCGGGGGTGTACGCCCCCGTGTGCCTGTCCATGTTCAGCGCCATCCTCTTCCTGCGACTGGGTAGGTACTGACTAGTTCCCTGTACGGGACGGGGCAGAGTAATAGTCGTTCCACCTGTTGCAGGCTTCGCGGTGGGCCAGGCGGGCTTCCTGGCCACGCTGGGCCTGTTCGCCATCGCCTACCTGATCGTCACCTGCACCGTCTTCTCCATCTGCGCCATCAGCACCAACGGCGCCGTCGAGGGCGGGGGCGCCTACTGTAAGTCCCTGCTGGGCTGATTGAACATTATAGATGATTTATACGCAATTTATTATTGAATTTCTCCGATTCTTTTACTGGATGGTACTTTGAAATGAATATTAATTTTTTGGTTTGGATTCTGTATTCGTATAGTTTGTATTTTTGACAAGAATAAAATTTAATATTAAAATAAAATTGTATTACTAATTATTTGTTTAGCTGGATTTTCTTAATAATAATTGTGTTACTTGTGTATGTGATAATGTGGATGAAGTGAAAGAAAGCATTTGTGTAGAATAATGGCAGCTGCGCTGCGGCGAGAAGTGTACACGCGAATAGGTAAATGAATATCCTGTAATTTGACCCAGTGAGGGTGTTATAAACGCTGTTAACGATAAGATGACAGCGTTAGCGTCCGCATTGCCAACGATAAAACAGGTGTAATGTGGGTGCCGTTGACCTAGTGACATTCACTGTGATTGCACGGCACTGCGTTACTGTCACTGATAGGTGCATTGTTATGTGCTTGTGCAGATATGATAAGCCGGGCGTTGGGTCCGGAGTTCGGCGGCGGCATCGGCGTGCTCTTCTTCCTGGCCAACATCTGCTCGGGGGCGCTGTACGTGTCGGGCGCGGTGGAGACGCTCATCAACTCCTTCGGCAAAGGCGGTAAGCCTGATTAACCCGCCTCTTGTTTGGTTGTTGACTAGCTGTGATGGGTAACAGGCTCGCTGACGGACGGCGGCCTGCCCAACGAGCCGGCGCGCTGGTGGGGCTTCTTCTACGGCGTCGTCGTCTGCACCTTCAACATGGCCGTCTGCGTCGTGGGCGCCTCCATGTTCGCCTACATGTCCGCCGCCATCCTCGCCATCGTCTCCATCGCCGCCTTCATCGGCTTCATCAGCTTCTTCATCGAGAACCAGTCAGTCCGCACCAACATTCTCCTCTGTATTTTGACAGTTTCTAATTTTTTAATATTGTAATTTCTTATGAAATATTTGTCAATATATGCAGTTAGAGATTGTATATGGTTTTTGATAATACAATCGGCGGCTGTATTGCAGCGCCCTGTGCATCGACTTCCCGGCCAACAACCACCACTACAGCAACGCCTCCTCAGTCAACAACGCCACGGGCTTGCCCTGCGCCTACTACACCGGCATCCTGCCCTCCACCTTCCGCGAGAACGTCTTCGGTACGTCCTCCCAGCCTCCGCTTCATTATCCCGCTAATGACCGGCATGCTCGTGATTTCAGCGCACTTCGACGTCGACTACACCACCGGCGACCTGGTGAACGCGGCCACCGTCTTCGCCGTGCTCTTCAACGGCGTCACCGGCATCATGTCGGGCGCCAACGTCGCCGGGGAGCTGCGCAACCCGGCCAAGGCCATTCCGCGCGGCACGCTGTCGGCGCTGGCCACCACGGCCGTCGTCTACGGCACCCTCGTCCTCATGATCGCCCTCACCTGCACCAAGTACGCTACAGCTATAGCGCCACTCGCAGAAATTCTGTTTAAAAAAATTCCAAAAATAAGACTATTATTTTTTTTGGGTCAATACAAAAATTGTATATATTTATTTGTATATTATATTATTTTTTATATATGTATAAATTGTATTATATATGTTATATAGCTGCGTGTGGTAACGTTGCAGCGGCCTGTTGAAGAACAACTACACCTTCATGCAGGCCATCAACGTGTGGCCGCCGACGATCGCCATCGGCGTGCTGGCGGCCACGCTATCAGCGGCCATGACCAATTTAATGGGCGCCTCCCGCGTGCTGCTGGCCGTGGCGCGCGACAACCTCTTCGGGGTGCTGCTGCGCCCCTTCGAGAAGACCACCGCCGCCGGCAATCCCATCCCCGCCGTCCTCCTCTCCTTCTTCCTCACCGTGGTAGGTCTTCCTAACGGAATCACTGCATCTCGTATATATACATGCATGTTGATTGCACAGATGGTGCTGCTGATTCCCTCGCTGAACCAGATCGCCGTCATCACCTCCATCTTCTTCCTCCTCTCCTACTTCGGCAACAATCTCGCCTGCCTGGCGCTCGAGCTGGCCGCCGGTACGCAGTACGCACTCAGTACCTCGCTTTCTTCACGTAACACAATTCACCTTCGCTTTCTTACATTTTCCAGTTTAATTGACCTTTTATGAAATAAAAATTTATGGATTACATATAGTGATAATTCAGTAATGCAGTCCATAATTTATTTGCATGATTCAACTGGATGAATAAATTTACTAATTTAATACTGTAATTTGGTGAATTTAATTTTAGTTTAATGCAGCGGTTTAATTGCATCATTTCATTTAGTCATTCAAATTAGGAAATTAATTCAGTAATTTCATGTAATTGTGTATTTTATTTTAATAATTGAAGTGGACTTTTCTTCTTCAAGGAGGTAATTGAGGAATTTTAATTTGCCGACTTTACAGCGCCGAACTGGCGGTCGAAATACCGTTTCTTCAGCTGGCATATAACCATAATAAATTAATTATTAACAAGAAACGATAGCAGTAATTACTGATAATTTAATTGGCTAATTTAAACTGAATTAAATTGTCTGCTTAACGGGGTGATTTGTAAATTGTAGCGCCGAATTGGCGGCCCAAGTACCGCTTCTTCAGCTGGCACACGGCGCTGATCGGGATGGCGGGGTGCGCGTGCATGATGTTCATCATCTCGCCCTTATACACGGCGGTGGCCTTCGTCATCGCCATGCTGCTGATGCTGGGGCTGCACCTGTGGTCGCCGGACATCAACTGGGGCAGCATCTCGCAGGCGCTCATCTTCCACCAGGTGCGCAAGTACCTCCTGCTCCTGGACATCCGCAAGGAGCACGTCAAGTACTGGCGCCCGCAGATGCTCCTCCTCGTCTCCTCCCGCGACCGCATCCAGCACCTCGTCGACTTCGTCAACGACCTCAAGAAGGGCGGTATGCCAAGGCGACAGGCCACACCCTCTTCCAAAATAATTTGTCGTCATTTTATTTGCAGTTTATGTCATTTTAAATTATTTAAAATTAATTTATTTTGAATTATTAGTTTAATTTATTTTAAAAGTTAATTAATTTTATTTCGCTTCAGTTTCCAATTTTTAAAACAATTGACCAGGAGGACCGCTTTTTCTGTTTTTTTTTATTGTAAAAATTCTCAGTTTATTTTCATCACACTTAATTTTGTTCATTGAATCTTAGTTCAATTTTTACAAATTAAAAAAATAAAATCGTTTTAGTGCAAACGTTGAAAAATACAGATTTAGCACGTTAATGAAGAATTTGTGCAGGATTGTACGTGCTGGGGCACGTGAAGCAGGAGGACTTTGACCGGCTGGACACGGATCCCACGCAGGAGGAGTACCCGCACTGGCTGGAGCTGGTCGACCGGCTAAAGGTCAAGGCCTTCGTCGAGCTCACCGTCGCCAGGTGCACTCATACAAACAACCTCTTATATAAATATTGATACTGTATACCCGGTATATCTAATGGGAATCGCTAAATAAAACTTAAGAATACGGAAATAATAGTTTTTTATTCGAATAATTACGTTGAATCAAAATGTATTTCTATAATCTTCAGTTATATTTAACTTTTTGTGTTCGAAAATAAGTATAAATAAAACGAAAACATTTTTTATATTATCTGAAAAAAATGTTTAAATAACAGTATAAATTTAAAAAGATTATTAAATGTAAATAAAATGCTAAAAAAATCAAATAGAATGTTTAAAAAAATAAAATAAAATGCTAAAAATATTGATATAGCATTTGTAATATATTTGTGCATGGTGCAGGACGATCCGCGAGGGCATCCACCACCTGGTGCACCTGTCGGGCCTGGGCGGCATGAAGCCCAACACCATCGTCCTGGGCTTCCCGCGCCTCCTCAACGGCACGCCGACCACCTCGCCGCACTCGCTGGCCGACGAGCTGGCCAACTTCCTGCCCACCGGCCCGCCCGACGACACCACGCCCCCCCTCTCCCCCACCGACTTCGTCCTGATCCTGCGCGACTGCCTGCGCATGCGCAAGAACATCTGCGTGGCGCGCAACTTCCGCTCCTTCGACAAGAAGGACGTGCTGCGCCACGCCGGCCGTCGCCAGCGCGTCAACATCGACGTGTGGCCGGTGGATCTGATGCGGCCGCAGCAGACCGACAGCTACGACACGCCGGTGCTCTTCCTGCTGCAGCTGGCGACCATCCTGCATATGACGAGCAGTTGGCGGCGCAAGAGTGTGCTGCGGGTGTTCCTGTGCCATCGCCAGCACACCGATAATGTCCTGCGGCGGATTAAGACGCTGAATTTGTTGTTGAATCAGCTGCGGATCAAGGGAAAGGTCGTGCCGGTGATTTGGGATGAGGCGCTGCAGCACATCGACCGGGTTAGCTGCAGCTCCTATCTATCCGGACAGAATATCGGCCAGGTATCTTCTTGCCATTTTTATGCATTTTTTCATCATTTTTGTAGTAAGACTGCATTTTAAATATTTTCTCATTATTTTAAATATTATTTCTATTTATTTTGGTTAAATAATTATTTCTGTTTATTTTGATTTTGATTATTTCTATTTATTTTAATTTATTTTATTTATTTAATATTGTTTCTATTTATTATTATTTTACGACGTGGCATTTCTTCATAAAAATAACAAGCAGTTGGAAATAAATCAGCAAGAATTACTCGAAAGATGTGAATAAATGAATTAGATTAATTTTACGCTTTTCGTTATTAATTTTTATACTACATATTCCTTTATTAGGTCTTTGGATTTTGTATTATTAATTTTTCATACATATTCTTTTATCAATGCTTGCATTTTGTAGAAATAATTTTTATCCATAATTTTTTCGCTTATTATCTGTTGAATTTTGTGTTGGTAATTAACAGTGTTTTATTCATGCTCTTTGATTCCAGTTATTTCCTTCCTAAATATTTTGAGAGTTTATTGAATCTTTTATCTACGGATTTATTGTTAATTGCCGGGTGTTCTCAGACTATCGTTCTTGCTGTTTATTATTGTATGAATAACGTTTTCCCAGTATTTTCTGACTATTTATCGTTGATTATTGTTACGGTATGGTGTTTGTAATGCTGTTGTATTGGCGACCGCCCGCAGGAGGTGGATCCCTACAACCTGCCCGTGGGCTACCTGCACGACGTGCAGCGCCTGCTGCGCTTCCACAGCCAGGGCTCGGCGCTGACTTTTCTGTGTATGCCGGCGCCGCCCGCGGAGGCGGAGCGCGCCGAGGCCTATCTGTCCTTCCTGGACTGCATCAGCGCGCTGCCGACGCCGGCGCTGCTGGTGCACGGCATCAGCATCGTCACCTCCACCACCATCTGATCCGTCTCCATTCCGCCCGCCCACGGACGGCGGCCTGCGGTGCAACGCCGCCCGGTGCCTTCCACGTTGATTAATTACGCGATTTTTGTTTCCGCCGATGATTTCTTCGGCTTTTTTACTTGTACACGAGTCGATCGTGGCAGTTCCTGTTCCGGGTGAAATTTCTGTGCTTTTTTTTTACTGGTCTATGTTGTTTCCCAAAATGGTTTCCTGCTGCCTGATAAATAGAGATTTATTTTACTCGGATATTTATTCGAGCGATGGAAGATTGGTTTTTCTTGTGATGCTGTTTTGATTGCTGGCTGGCTTGCTCAGTTATATATTGGAAATAAATTAATGACCCGCATAATTAAATAGTTATTTGTAGAAAAGAATTTAAAAAGCTATAAAAAATTTATTAAATATAAATTAAAAATGAATGGACCTATAAATAACTGAAACATTCATACATCGAAAACGAATTACGGTAAATAAAAAATTAATAAGAATAAAAAATAATCAATAATAAACCAGAAAAAAATGACGGCTAGCCGCTGTCCCGTTCACGTTAATATTTAATAACAAAATCGATCAAGCCATTTCCCGTCTGTCTAAAAACAATTACCAATCATTACCGCTTAAACAGCTTTCTCTATCCATTAGTCATCCATGCAACCACACCCGCCTCAAAAACAGATTAAAAACAAGCCATCCGTAAAAAAACCCGCGAGAACACTCGTCACCTCTCCCTGTGAGAGTTCCGATCCTCCCGTCAAACACAGTCCGAAGACAAATTGATTCCGCCGCGACACAAACGCGCATTCTCATTCCAGTCTCCACATTCACCATGAGATCAGCCAGGGGGATGAACAAAAGGGCTTCCAATCCAGACCAACACGAAAAGGGAAAGACTTCACTCGTCGGCGGCCTTCTCCGCCATCTCCTCGTCGGCCTCCTCCTCGGCGGCGGCCTCCTCCAGCCGACGCCGCTCCCGCTCCTTCCGGGACTCCTCCCGCGGTGTCTCCTCCCGCTCGCGATTCCGCGGAGGCCGGCCGCGCGGGCGCCCGACGGACCGTTGTTCCTCCTTGTCCCGGTCGCGTTCCCGGTGGGTGCGCGCGGACCCGGCGGACTCGGCGGGGGAGGCCGTGGTGCCTCTCCCGCGTTTCTCCTTGGTCGGCGGGGTCTTCTCGGTGGGCAGATCGAAGCCGTTGAGGAGCGGGCCGGGCCCCATGGGGAAGGGGAAGCCCGGGAAGCCGGCGGCGGCGGCCTGCGCGAATAAGGGATTAAATCCCGGGAATAATCCGGCCTGCGGGAAGATGAAGGGCAGCTGCGACTGCATCATGCTCTCCAGGGCGGCGGCCTGCTGCTGCTGCTCCTTCTCCGCCTTGTCCTTCTCGGCTTTGCTCTTGCGGGAGGAGGAGGCGGAGCCGCCGGCGGTGGGGGCGTCGCGCTCGCGGTCGCGCTCCCGGTCGCGTTCCCGCTCGCGGGTCTTGGAGGAGGACGACGACGACGGGGTGGAGGCCGCGTCGCCCTTCTTCCCGGAGGATTCGCCTTTCACAGTACCCGCGCTCTCGCCTGAAAATAACCCCACAATCTCCACAAACCATACACAGAAATTAGTCAAAATATAATGTAGGACAAAAAATCGATTCCGTTTTTTAAAAGGTACTTTCTTATTAAAATAAATAAATTGCACCAAATATCACGAGCTACCTGTATATAATTCATTAATAGCAGTTTTGTTTTTGAACCCGCACCTGATGTGATCAGTTTCTCCGTCGAAAACTGTTGACATGATAATATTTTACAAAAATGAATTTTTTAATTGCAACCGTTGCCAGTGCTTGTTTGATTTGGAAACAGTTTAAATCGAAATCGACAGGGATATATAAAGTAAAATCCGAATTTTCACAACCTGTTTTACAAATATTATAATTCTGGTAAACGTAAATAAAGCAGTTAGATGGAGTATCAATTTATTTGTAATAATTTTCTGACCTACGGTATGTCTATTAAAAAAGCTAAATTTAATTCAAAGTACTAAACATTCAGTGTTTTTTGTCCTACACTATAACTGTAGTGAAAATCATCAGTAAAGCTCACAAAGTTTCCACAGCTGCAAGTGATCTACCATGGAGCCTAATCCCAATAAGAAAAATGCAACATTGGCAGAAATAAACGAGAAACGCGCACGTACCGTCGGCCGGCATCCCGGGCAGCATCCCCATCAGCGCACTGGACAGCGGGAAGCCGGGCAGTCCCGGGAAGGGCATGGGGAAGCGCGAGCCCAGCCCCGGCAGAAAGGCCCCGCCCAGCGGGAAGCCGGGCGCGAAGGGGTTGCCGGCGGCGAAGAGGTTGGGCGCGGGACTGCCGGCGAGATTGTCGCCGCTGCTGCTGCTGGCCGCGCTCTTCCGGCCGCGCTTCTCCTTCCCGGAGGGCGGCGGCGGGGCGGCGGACATGGCGCCCTGCTCGCGCAGGATGGCCGCCCAGGCCGGGTCGATGTCGTAGTCCTGGTTGGTCTCCAGCCACTCCGCCAGCGATTTCAGCTGCGGCGCCTTGCGGCCCGAGATCTTCTTCCCCGACTTCCGGTGGATCACCGTCACGTTCTCCTCGCCGGTGAGGTGCAGGCCCGTGTCGCCGGCGCCCCCGCCCCGGGAGCTGCCCGCGGCAAAGTCGTCGGCGGCGCTGCGTTTCGACGATGTCGACACGCCGTTGGTGAAAATCTATTCAGTTCGGATACATTATTTACAGAATTATCCAAAATAAATCACCATTATTTTATACGTTTATTTCTTAATATTCCAATTTAATTTTCTACATACTCGTATTTCATCCAAAAATAAATCACCATCATTTTATTCATCATCATCATTTTATTCACTTTAAATCACCATCATTTTTATATTAATCACCAGCATTTATTTCTTAATATTCCAATTAATTTTTTACATACTGGTATTCCATCCAAAAATAAATCACCATGATTTTAACCATTTATTTCTCCATATTTCAATTGATTTTCTACATACTCGTATTTTGTTAATATTTTTTTCTAATGTTTTTCTATATATGTACGTACGCGATAATATATATGTACGCGATTATTATTTCCTGTGTCCTCATTGTATAATTATTGTTTATTTACTATTACATTTTATTAAAGACAACGCTACTAATTATTCAGGTAATTTTTTCCTGTTGCAAATATATTTCATTTTTTATTGAGTAGAAAGCACTCACGTCGGGGAAGGTGAGGCCGGGAATCTGGAAGGCCTGCGTGTCGACGACGTAGTGCGGGTTCTTCATGAGCCAGTCGGCCAGGTCCTTCTGGCGCGGCGCCTTGTCGCCCTGCAGCACGCTGCCGTCGCGCATGTTGATCACCGGCACGCGGCTGTCGGGGTCGAAGGCGTTGTGCTGCGTGTGCTCCGCCTCCTGGCGCCGCTTCTTCAGCAACGTGTCCACCTAAGCCACACAACCAACTCAACCACCGGCATCAAATAAATTCAACCCAACTTGTATAAATTCACCGCAAACAATTAAACCGTCACTGCTTATCGCTAATAAATTAATTCAAATTAATCTGCCACACCAAAACAATTTACTGCAAAATAATTCAATAAATTTTACAATATATCGGTATTAATTTACCGCATCAAAAAAATCTGCCGCAGTTGTAATTAGCCGCAAATTAATAAATTCACACTACTTTACCGCAACAAAAAAAATTAATAACTTTAGCAATAACCTAAAAAATATAAGAAAAAAATTAAAAATAATTTCTAAAATAATTTTAAACATAATTTTTAAACCATAAATTTATTTTTTAAATTATTTTAAAAAATAATTTAAATATATTTTTAAAAATTACTAATTCAAAAAAAAATTTTATAAATTTAAAAATAATTTTAAAAATTTAAAAACTAGTTGTAGCGATATATTCTGCATACCTTTTGACTCAATTTGGAGCCTTTCTCGCCGGACGCGCCTTCCTTGCGACTGCCGGCCGGGGACGCCGTGGACGCCTTGCTCTTCCCGGTCAAATCCAGGACGCCCTCCATCTCCGGCGCCAGACTGTTGTTACTGCTGCGCCCGTGGGCGGGCGGCGGTCCCAGCCGATTGGGTGACCGCTGCGGCTCCTTCTCCCTGTCCCTGTCTCTATCCCGCTCCTTCCCCTTCTCCCGTCGCTCCTCGTGCCCCGCCCGCAGCCGCTTCGCATTGGCGGTGGCCGCCGAAAGAAACGCCTGTTGTTGCTGCAGCAGCGCCTGTTGCGCGGCGTGGTACTGCTGCAGCCGTTCCGCCTCGATCTCCGCCTTGGGCCGGCGTCCGCGGCGCCCCCGCCGGGGCTCCAGGCCGTTCAGTCCGGGGATGTGGCCGGCGGCGGCCAGCATGGCGAAGTCGGGGTTGTCTAAAAAGTTCTCGGGGTTGAACTGCAGCTGCTGCTGCACCGTCACCGCGGGCGGGGGCGCGGGCGGCGGCTGGACGACCACCGCGGGCGGCGGCGGGGTGCTGCACTCGTCCAGGATGCTGTCGGCCATGGCCGCTTGGGTTCGTTTGCTGGGCCAGCGATTATGATCAATACAGTAACAGATGTGCTCCAGACGCGCCTAATTCAATTAAAAAATGTTACGAAAAAATTCGTTTAAAAATACGTAGTAAATAATAATTTTTTTTTGCAACGGTTTTGACTTTTCGTCACAGGAACCAACTGAGACGTAATTCGGTAACCAATTTTTTTACTGCGAACTGCAGTGAACTAGCTTTTCATCCCTTTTCTTCGCTTCAAATAATTTTAAATTTAAATCTTATCGAAATACTAAATGAAATATTTATTATTTTACGCGTATTTTTAAATGTGAATCTCTCATTTTTGAATTTATTTTGTGAAACTATAATTTCTACCTGGATGAGCCGATCCCGTGGCCATCCCTGCGCACACATCCCGCGCGCCAACAACTGCGCCACGGTCAACTCCCCGGGGCGGTCGCCGTCGTCCAGCTCCGCCTTGACTTTCTCTTCCTCCTCCTTGACTTCCACCTTCACTTCCGGCTTGGTCTCCTCTTCCGGCTCCGTTTTCTTCTCGTTCTCTTCTTCCTTAACGGGTTCTTCCTCTTTGGAAGACGGCTCTTCCCCTTCCGTTGTGACGGGGTCGGACTCCGGCTCCTTTTCCGGCTTCACTTCGTCCTCAGCCGGTTTTTCTTCTCCCGTGACCGGCTCGTCCATTTCCGTGTCCTTCGCTTTCTCCTCTTCCGCACCGGCGTCCGTTTCCGTATTTTCCCCGTTGTCCACTTCCGGTTTGGGACTGGGCGACTTGTCCTTGGTCTTGAAGGCCGCCTTGATGCTCTCGGCGAAGGAGAAGTCGCAGTCCACGGCAATGTTGCACGCCGTGTCCGCCAAACCGTGCCTGAATTAATCAAAAAAATTTATTACAATAATATACAAAATACATCATTAAAAATAGAATAATAATTGTAAATATAAATATTTCTGATAAATGGGAAGAGCTGCTCACCGCGCGGCTCCTTCGAGGATCTCGCGGTCGTGTTGACCGCAGATCCACCAGTCGGGGAGGTCCGGCGAGGGCTGGCAGAGTTTGAGGCGCTCGTCCAGTTTGGGATGCTTCAGCGCCAGCATCCGGATGCGGTACAGCAGATCCACGCGCTGCAGACAGCGCGCCGCGCGCTCCTCCGACAACTGCTCCACTTGGTCGGCTAACACGTCTGCAGTGCATTATTTACAATTAAATCCGACCAATGCACCAAAAAAATCAACTAATCTATGGAAAGAAGCAACTGAATCCGTCAGGAAATAAATTATTGCTTCCAATGTAAATACAAATTAATATTCTGCCCAAAATAAGTAAAAAAAATAATACTGATAAATAAACCATATTAACCGATTAAAAGCAAACGAAAATAAATTTTGGAATTTCAAATGAATGAAAAAAATAATCAATAAAAACAAAAAAAAACTGGTGAATTTAAAAGTGTAAATTAGAATCTAATAATCTAACAATAATCAAGTATGAAATTAACAGCTTCATTCCGATAAGTCACAATGAATCCAAAATAACTTAACAAAACTTCTTTAGTAACATTAATTTTCCCTTAAAAGGATAAATCAAATACTACAAAAAAAGAATCCGTTATACAGCAGCATAAAGTATCAAATTACGCACCTTCTTCGTGGGAGATCTTCTTGCCGCAGACCTTCTTCAGCATGGCGTGGAACGCCGTGTAGTAATCCGACAGCGTGGAGTCCAGTTTCTTCTCCAGTTTAGACAACTCCCGGAAGCGATCCCACAGGAAGGTGTCTTTACTCTCGCCGTACTCCACGCCGAAGTTGACGATCGTCCGCGCGAATTCCCCTTCCTCGCGCTTCGTCCAGCGCTTCTGCTGCTGCTCCAGTTTGCGCGCCTCGCGCTCCTTCTCCAGCTGCAGCTGGCGCTCCAGTCGCTGCTGCTTCTTCAGCTCCAGCTGCTCCAAGCGCAGACGCCGCTTCTCGAAGGCCAGGATCAGGCGGCGCACGCGCGTGTTCAGATCCGAGTCCAGCGGGAACGCCGGCTCGCCGTTCTTGGCCGCCGCTTGCCGTTTGGCCGCCGCCGGCTTCCGCCCGCGTCCCGGCTTCTTCTTCACTTCCGCGCCGTCCGTCTCCGCCGCGGCTTCCTCCTTTTCGGCGGTGGCTTCCTTCGCGGTGGCCTCGCGTGTTTTGCGCTTCGTAGCGCCGGTTTCCGGCTCGTCCGTGCTCTCCGTTTCGCGGGCTCTTAACAATTCCAAACAATCAGTTATTTTACTTATTCCGCGTCTGATCGCACATACAATTGTTATCGGTACATATAAATATGAAAAAATGTAAAAATAACTACTTACGATGACTTGCAATGACGCTACAATTTATTTTTTTATATTTTCCATAAAATCGTGTAAAAGTTTAAATATTAATTGCAAAACGTTAGATATTAATTTTAAAAAAACATAGAGCAATCAGCAAAAATAGTGCAGCGGTTGTCTGGTCAGTTATCTGTTCTGTAAGCTCATATAGCTCAACAACGAACTATCAGCATTAGCATGGCAATTCATCATCCCAGCAACGAGCCACTGCACTAACAAATCTCGACAATTTCAGCGGCAATATTTTTGACAATTACTCAATTAGGTTGAAATTTTTTCATTCCTGCAGATGCAATGTAAAATCTATTGATAACTAGGAAAGTGCACTGCTGCTGGCTAGCACTGAAAGACCGAAGCGAGCGGGAAACAAAATGGAATACACACTTCAGGAGTTTCATATTTTTTTAAATTTCCCATTTCCATTTATTATTATTTTTTGTGTCCATCAAATATAGTTTTCAAAAATATTTCCCTCTTATGAATTTACTTAATATACGAAGGCGTGACCGACGTGACCGACAAAAGTCCTGTTTTCTTGAACATAGAGGACCTTCGCTTCGCTTCGGTCGAATAATAGTAACGTGACCAGTTGGTACTCACGTAAATAAAAAAAAAAGCAAAATCGGTTAGAAAATGTAAACAGATCCAAAAAAATACTCGACTCACTCTTCAGCTTCGCCGTCGGCCTCCTCGAGGATCCCCTTGGGCAGATCGAGCGGGAGGGGCGCCTCCTGCGGGCCGCACTTGGAGAGGAAGCACAGTCCGGGGTCGTTGCGCATCGTCCCGTAGTTCTCGAAGCCGTGGCGGAAGATGCCGATCAACAAGCACTTGTCCGACTCCTCGTCCCACCAGTCCACCGGCTTGTCCACCGGCGCGTCCGCCGTCGGCATCTCCAGCGGGATCTCCTGGTACGGCGTGTCGGCCATGATCAGCTCGCCCAGATCCTGGATGGCTTCCTCTTTCAAGTTCTGCAGCAACTTCAGCCGCAGCACCAGCCGACTACACACACAAAAACAATCAACCTGTCAGCAACGGTTTCCATTGATTTTAAATCAATTTTGTTCAACGTACTTGATGGAGTGCTTCTTCATGTGCTTGAGGAAGCCCTTGTCCAGCAGCTTCTCCGGCTCGAAGCGCTCGTCCTTCTCCCAGTCGGGCATCTCGCCGTTCTCCAGCTCGCGGTCCGCTTCCGGACTGTCCGCCTTGCGCGTCGACCGCTTCTTGTGCTTCCCGTTGCGACTCGCGCCGCTTTCTTCCGCCACCGCCGCTGCACGCCGCATTAACACGCATTAATCAACAATGTCCAACTAGTAAATCTAAGAATTGTTTACCTTGTTCCTGCTGGAAGGCGCGCCGCGCCGCCCAGTCGTCCTTGTAGGATTTGAGCACCATGTCCCAGACGTAGGGCTTAGCTTTATCGTCACTGCCGGTGTAGTGCTTGCACGAGTAGTGCATCATCGTCCGCGCGAACAACTCCACGTCCTTCTCCGTGAACTTCCGCTTGAACACCACGTCTTCGATAATCTCCTTCCACCGGCCCCAGCTGTACAACAAAATTCATATAAATAAGCATTTTTTACTAACTTAAATAATTTTTTCAATGGTTCACGCATCAAATTTTTTTAAACTTATAACACTAACTGAAACCGATCAATCGAAATAGATTCTGCAAGAGAATTTGTGTACGTACCCCCAAGTGAGCAGTCCCCGTTCCAGCCGGAGACACTCCATGCGGTTCCAGGAGCCGGGCAGGATGGCGTCGTCCTTCTCCTTGCCCTTGGCGCCCTTCCGCCCGCGGCGTCCGCGGCCCCGCCTGCCGCTGTCGTCGTCGCTGTCCTCCTCGTCCTCCGACGCCTCCTCCACCATCTCCTCTTCCTGCTCTTCGCCGTAGCGGCGCACTTGCAGACGCCGGCGGGGCTCGTGGATAATCAGCTCATTCTGCCAACAAAAAATACTCAGTGAAAAAAAAATAAATCAAAAATATACGAACGCAATCCAGAATTAAAAATTAAGAAATAAATTAAACAGTAATTAAACGAAGGGGTACAATAAAACACGAATTCAGTTCAGAAAATAGAAAGAATTTAAATCAAAATTAAAACAAGAATTAAATCAAATCAATTAGAAACTAAACGAAATATAATCTCCTCGTTTAGCGCACCTCGAAGACGTCCTTGTCAGTGTTGACCTCGGCCTTCTTGGCCCACTTCTGCCAGAAGTCGGGGTCGTTGATGTCGATGTCGTCGCGCGTGCCGGTGGCGGCGAAGCTGGCCTTGGAGAAGGTGGAGCCCTTCTCGCCGGCCTCCAGCTGCACGGTCTGCGTGCGGCGCTGCAGGATCTGGTCGATGTCCTCCGTGCAGAACTGGTCCGCCGCGTTGTCGTCGTCCATCAGCGCGCCGTACGCGCCGCGCTTCAGCAGGTCCTCGATGTCGCTCTTGCTCAGCTGCTGCTGCGAGGCGGCGAAGGCCTCCTTGCCCCCGGAGGCGGCGTTAGCACTGCCGCCGGCCATCTGGCCCGACTGCAGCACCGCCTTGTCCAGTCCCAGCTTCAGACTGGCCTTGTCGAACATCTCGCGCTCGTACGAGTTGCGTGTAATCAACCGGTACACCTTCACCGGTTTGTCCTGCCCGATGCGGTGACAACGCGCTTGTGCCTGCAAACAATTACATAAAACTCAATTATCACAACAAAAATTATAAAAATAAATTTTTTAAATATGAAAACATTAAATAAAATTAAAAATTACTTTATTAAGCAACACGAATTCGTCTGCTATTTAAATTTTTTTAAAAACTGAACGCTTTTAATTTAAATATTTCTTTATTTGTATACAGAAGTAATTCGACAAACGCCGACAATATTAATAAATGATTAACGCAGCTTGCCTGCAGATCGTTCTGGGGATTCCAGTCCGAGTCGAAGATGATGACGGTGTCGGCCGCCGTCAGATTGATGCCCAGACCGCCGGCCCGCGTGCACAACAGGAAGACGAAACGGTCCGAGTCTTCGCGCGAGAAACGGTCGATCGCGGCCTGCCGCTCCGGACCCCGCACGCGTCCATCAATCCGCTCGAACAAATATCTAAACAAGTTAAAAGAACCATTTACTGGTTTGCTTACTAGCGAAATCGTAGCGATTGCCCAAGAAGACTGCTATTAAATTTTCAAATAATTTAAATCATCACTGTAGTTGAACAGCCATTCTCAACCTTAACTACGCCTAATTTATTACAAACTGTCAAAGAACAAAAATTCCTATACCACTGATATACAAAACGATCTAAAAATCTATAATAATTCTTAAACTGCCCGAACAAGTGGAAGATAATTACAATACCCTATGCAATATTCCCGTTAGAATTTAATGTAAATATCCTTCATTTTTATTTCAGATAAAATTACTCAATTTGTTATGAGCGCACCCTACCGTTTCTGGACCAAATAATCCTCGAGGATATCCAGACACCGGACCATCTGCGAGAAGATGAGCACCTTATGCCCGCCGTCCTTCAGTTTCGGCAGCAGCTTATCGATCAAGACCAGCTTGCCCGACGACTGCACCAGCGAGCGCATCAGCAGCTCCGCGTCCTGTCCGTCACTGTGGTGATTATGCTGCGAGGTGAACTCCTCGATAATCGACTCCTCCGCGCCGTTCAACAAATACGGATGGTTGCAGCACTTCCGCAACTCCATCATCGTGTTCATCAAATTCGGCACATTCGCCGAGGCGCTGCCCTTCTGCAGGAAGGTGAAGTTCTTCTCCAGAATGGCGCGGTACCACTTCTTCTGCATGTTGGTCAGCTCCACCTCGATGATGGTCTCCTCCTTGGGCGCGATGGACTTCTCCACGTCCTCTTTTAACCGCCGCAGCATCATCGGTTTGAGGATCTGCTGCAGCTTCTGCACCTGCTCGTCCGTCTTCAGATTGCCGAAATCTAAAGAAAACGCCTCGGCGTTGGAGAAGCGGTCGGGTTCGAGGAAGTTGAGGAGACTGAAGAGCTCCTCCACGTTGTTCTGCAGCGGCGTCCCGGTTAACAAGACCCGGTGCTCCAGATCCAGCAGCTTGAGGCCCTCCAGCAGTTTGCAGTTCTTGTTCTTCAGCCGGTGCGCCTCGTCGATGATCACGGCGCGCCACTCGATCTCGCGCAGCTCCTCCAGATCCGACAGCAGAATCTCGTAGGTCGTGATGAAGATGTTGAACTTGAAGAGGTTCGGCATCTTCCCACCGCGCTCGTTGCGGAAGTGGAACTCGTATTCCCGCAGTACTTCCCGCGCTAATGACCTACCAAACAAAATCATCCTGTTTTACAATAATCCGCCTTTTAATTTAAGTTCAATTTTAAATGTGAATAAATATCAGTAGAATTGCTCATTCAATCAACAGTCAGCACGTTTACTTATTACAGCATCATTTGAGAATTCGGGCAAAATTAAAAGAAAATCTATTTAACTGACCCGCCGTGGTAGCAGATGCCGTTCATGTCCGTCCACGTCTCCACCTCGCGCGTCCAGTTGCCCAGGGTCGATAGCGGGACGACGACGAGGAAGGGACCGCGGATGCCGTAGCGCCGGATGTGCTCCAGGAACACCGTCGACTGCACCGTCTTCCCCAGACCCATCTCGTCAGCCAGGATACAGTTTTGCCTGTTAAACACATTTTATTACACAACCACCCAAAATTTTACTAAAAAAATTTTAATAATTTAAATCAGAAACACCCAAAATAACCACAAATGTTGTACATTTTTTTTTAAAATGCTCGTGCAATTAAGACACAGATTAAATAAAAAAACTTTTCTCATTGTAGCCATCTGAATCTTCTCGCAATTATTTTTTTTATTGATGAATTTTATTGTTATTTTATACGGCGTAATCAACCGCCGATTAACGTATTCAGGATCATATTAGAAATTTATTAGAATTTGATCCATTTCAAGGTGAGCGACATACCCGTGATACCAGGAGAAGAGGAGCCAGTTGACGCCCTCCAGCTGGTAGTCGCGCAGATTATTCCCGTTCTTGTACACGGAGGCCTTGTCCATCTTGGTCCATTCGCGCGCACTCGGCCGTTTCACGCGCTGCAACACCAACCAATCGCATCAACATATTATTCACATTATTTAGAGTCCAGATTCCAGCAGTTATTGGCCGGTTTTGAATTGATTTAAAATTAAACTGATGTGAAATTATTTAACTAAAATTTTTTAATTTTTACAAAAAGAAAATTAAAGTTTTTTAATAATATTTTTATCAAGAAAATTAAATTTGTAAAATTATTTTTCCTTATCTTAATAAAAGTGACACAGATCCGCTAACCCACCTTGCGTTCAGCCGGGGGCGGCGGCATCTGCCTGTGCCGGTAGGCCTCGATCTTTTTACTATCGCAGTCCTCCTCCACCTCCCAACTGCACTCATCATACGGCAGACCGCACCACTTGATCAGGAAGTAGCGCCGCATCTTGTGCGAGTCGTCCCCGTCCGGGAACATGCGCTCGTCCAGCACGCGGTCCACCTCCGTGTAGTTGGGGTCGAAGGGCTCGTCGTCGTTGTCCTCCATGAAGGTGGCGTTCTCCTTGCGCTGCTTGTAGCGCGTGATCTTCTGCTTGATGCGCTTGTCGATGGCCTCCAGCTCGTCGGCCGTCTTCCAGTCGCAGTGCAGGTACGAGTAGTTCTTGAACTTGACGTACAACTCCTCCACCTCCTCCATCTCCACGGGCGCCTTCTCCGGCTTCACTTCCTCCGTCTTGGCGGCCTCCTCGCCGCCTTCCGCAGCCTCCTTCGTCTCCTTCTCCGCGTCGGCGTCCTTGGTCTCTTCCTCTTCGGGTTTGGCGACGGGCCGCTTGCCCGTGCGGCTGGCCATGATCTTCTCCACCACCACCGGGTCCGGGTCGCCTGGTTGCTGAAAAGGTCACACAACTCTCATGAATAGGAATACCCCGAACAAACTGCACAACAACCCTTTCCAAATTTTTTTAAATATTCTCCAACAAATATTTTTTGAACAGTAGAATACTTCCCAAAAAACATTATTCAGAAGACCAGACCAAGGCACAACTGCCAAAATTATTTTATCAATTAATAATTTATCAATTAATAATTTGCAAAAAAATTGGTTTTTAAGCTATTTAACTATCTAATTTTTTTTAAAAAAAATTCCTCCGAATGAAATACTATGAATACTGTAGTAAAACGATATTTTTTTCAGAAATGAATATTTTTAAAAAATTAATGTTAATAAAAAGCATCTTATTTTGGTAAGAATTTAAAGCCACGTCTTTTTTCGATGCTCTGCTAACAGTAATTTCGCAGATATTCGCACTTACCACGAAAAAGCGCCTGGTCGGCTCGAAGAGTTCAATGGGATAGGGGTCGACGGTGCCGCCGTTGCTCTCCTCTTCCATCACCACCACCGCTTCCTCCATCGGCACGGCCATCCGCTTGGGCGGCAACCGGTCCTCCAGGTCCGACATGTCCATGTCGCCCTCATCCGTGTACTTCTTCCGCTTGGTCACGCGCGCCGACCGCCGCTTCTCCACGTAGTTCCCGTCGAAATCCGGCTCCACCACCGACGGCGACGGCGGCGGCGTGGCGTCCAGATCGTCGCCCTCGTCGTCCGAGCCGCGCTTCTTCTTCTTCTTGCGCCCGAACTGGAACGCCGCCTTGGCCTGGCTCTTGGACTTTTGCTGCTGCTCTTCGGCGCACTGCGGTTGCGCGCCTTTGACGGCGTGCCGCCGCCCTCGGGCGGGGTCTTGCTGGCCGTCGACGGGGATTTGCGTTTGCGACTGGACGAGCCGCCGCTCTTGCGCTTCTTCTTGGGCGTGGCGTACTTGTTCGTGGCGCTCTCGTCGTCCGTGTCCTGACTGGAGATCATCTCGGCCACGGGTTCCGCGGGGCCGGAGGGCGGCGAGAGGGGCGGCGGGAGGGGCGCGGCGGTCTCCTTCGGCGGGTGCCCGTTGGGATAGCCGTTCTGCAGCACCGGCGGCGGAGGTGGACGCGGCTGGTCGATGCCCATCGCCACCGACATGGGCGGCAGCGGGACCACTGGCCGCAAGGGCGGATGGATTGCCGGCACCGGGATACTCTGACTGATCGCGGTTGGAACCCCCGGAGGTGGTTGCGGCGGGGCGCCGGTCGGCGGGGTGAAGGACGGGCGGATGTTCTGCTGCGCCGACACCGCCGCTTGCTGCCGGTTCAGCATGATCAGCCGGTTCTGCAGTTCGGCGATCTTCCGGTCCACTTCCGGCGCTCTGTTCGGCATGCGGTTCAGATTCTGCAGATGCAGTTGAATGCTCTGGATCTCCCCGTTGATGTTGGGTAGCGGCGAGTTGGAGGTCATTTGCGGAGGTTGCTGATTGGCCGGCGGCTGCATCAGCGGTCCGTTCTGGTAGATCGGCTGTTGGGGCGCCGTCATGGAGAACCCCTGGTCCCCCGGTGTTGGGCATCGGCATCATCTGCCCGGGAGGGAAGTGCTGCCCGGGTGGTCGCTGTCCCAGCGCTCCTCCCGCGGCGGTCGGGCCCCCGCCCATCATCTGCCCCGGGGCGGCGGTCCCATGAGTCCCGGAGGCGGTCCACCGCTGTTCTTCTGGAACTGTCCGGGTTGGGCTATCCGGTTGGGCTGCGTGAAGACGGAAGGCAGGGGGGAGCCGGCCAGGGAGGAGCCCGGGAGACGCAACCCGGGGCTCTCGGGGGAGCGCACCGACGGCGGGGCGGTGGGCGACGGGCCGGTCTGCTGCTGCTGCTGTTGGGCCCGCGCGAGATCGGAATGTGTGGAAGGCGAGGGAGAGGGTTTGGCGTCCATCACGGGAGGGGCCTTGGAGTCCGGCTTCATCAGGCCGGCCAGGTCCGGGGGCCCCGGGATGCGCGGGGTCTGCGCCAGGAGGCCGGAGAGGCGCTGCGGCGGCTGCGAGGGGCCGGCGGCTGCATGCTTCCGGGTTGGCCGTGAGATGGAGGAAACCTGGTTAGGATAGTAAAGATTACATACTGCAAAGCTCGACAGCGCATTGCACTTTCTGTTGCACTCATGATTAACGATTTATAACTCAAAAACAGAAGTTATGTAAAACTCATGCCTTAGTTGATTCACTTAATTTGAAAGCTGTGATCTGAACAGTTTAATATTAATCAGTCTGCCATTTATTTAACAGCTTTTAAATCGAGTACTGCTCTTGCTTAAGCTGCCAAATCACGCTATATTGCTAAAATCCTAACACTTTCATTTTGTCAATTTTATCACACTCAAGAAAAGAAAATGTAGATAAACAGAAAGTATTCATACGAACTCGAATAAGCCCTGAATAATAAATTTTAATAATTCTGATTTCGATTGTAATGTGAATAATAAATTTTAATAATTCTGATTTCAATTGTAATGATTCTGTAAAAAATTATAAACTGACTGTACCTGTTGGCCATTTGTGCTTGCATGGAGTAGGGCATCCCCGGCAGCCGATTCTGCGGCATGCCCTGCGCCGGCTGCTGCCCGGCATAGCCGGGGAACGGCGACGCCATGGAGGAGGGGAAGGCCTGCTGGCCCGGCCCGCTCCCGGGCGGCATCCCGCCCGCATACCCGGGCATCATGCGCATCCCCTGAAAGCCCTGCGTGGCGGCGCCCGCCGCGTTCCCGCCGCCGAACTGCGGCTGGCCGTGGTTGACGAAGGGGCTCTGCCCGTCCGGGTAGCCCTGGTGCGTGCCGTAGGGGGGTCGCATCGGCGCATTCTGCGGCGACAGGTAGGCGTTCTGCCCCGGCAGCCCCACCGCCGACGCCGGCCAGGAAGACGGGGGAGTCGGGCCCCCGCCGGAGCCCGCCGCGCCGTACGCGGAGAACTGTGGGTGGCGGTAGGGATCGTGGCCGAAGCGCTGCGGCGGATTGGCGGCCGGGTAGCCCGCAGGAGGTCCTCCAGCCCCCGGGGGGACTCCCGGCGGGTAGTAACCCGCCGGGTAGCGGTGGGGGGCGTGCGGGGGCTGGTGCGGCGGGGGGAAGGAGGCGTTGAGGGAGTGGTAGGGCGTGCTGAGGCCCAGCTGGGTGTAGGACAGGGTGGGGGCCCCCGGGGGGTTGGCGGAGGGTTTGGAGGGGGGCGCGGGCTCGCCGAGGGTCATGAGGGATTCCGAGTCGAGGGCCTGGTAGGAGCTGGCGGCCGCCGGGGTGATGAGGCTGGGCTGCAGGCTGGAGAGGAAGCCGCCCTCGTCCTGGCCGTTCAGCGAGGCGAACATGTCGCTGGCCATGGCGGAGGGATCGCTGAGAAAGCCCAGGTACGAGTTCTCCGCCATTCTCAACCACACCACCGCCTCACGTCCAAATCAATCCTGCAACCAACACTTGCACCACTCAACCATCCACCAACAATTCCCCGATGAATGGCGATGTGTATCAGCGACGATAACAGGCCAACGCGCGACAGAAACCATAGGACCTTGAACAGTGATGCATTCTAACTGCCAATGCACTCAACGTACTATCATTCGATCAACGCTTCATTCCCTTATTCCACGCTAATCATAAATTATTCTATACTGTAATCTGTCAACGTGATACTCGTTGATAAATAAATGAAAATACAAATCAGGAAGACATGGAATCAACGCTAAATGAGAGCCTGGAACGAACCAGTGTTCCTCTGTCAAGCGTGAGGAAAAATCTCTCTAATTTATTAGCGCGCTGTGGCATTGGGCCATTGGCATATCACACACACAGTGCACACACACAGACGGCATGGCAGCCAATTTTTTCCTGCCCGTTCAGCGCTGTTGCATTCCACTCACTCTGAATTGCCTTCACACACACAAACTCCACTCACACACACAATTGGCTTATTCTCATTGGAAACAACGGCACCGTGGCGGGAATAATTTAAAAAGGCGGTATTGATTTTCCAGTGGAAGATGATTGCTAATTATTAATTGTGCTGCAGATACACCAACATTTCCCCGAATCGCGACAATGAGAAGGCCAACCAGACGAAGTGACGTCACCCGATGACGTACGTTGATTACGTTCTCAAGTCTCAACTTCTCACTTTAAATTGGCTTTTTACTGGCCGCGGCTGTTGCTTGCAGATTTATTTTTTTGCGTATGAGTTAACGGTCGCCGTTTAAGTAAGAAATTAAAAAAAATAATTCCACCCGCGCGTTCCAATAAAACCCGGCTAATTTAACGCATTTAACATTATATGATTTTATTTTTGTTTTTAATAGCACAGTTAATTAACCGCAAGATTTACATGCTTTAATGAGTAATTGAAAATTGAAATTAATTTCTTGGATTAATTCAGATCCCAGAATATCGACCTAGTGAGTGGCATATTCATAATCGATCAATTTTAAATTTCCCAAGATATACGGTATCAGCCCGAAACGTAAAGCCCCTGTACACTGACGTACGTACGTCTCATAGAAATCCTTCAACCCATTCATTCTCTCTGGCTCTGAGCCCGCTCGTACAGCCGCCATAGCACCGCCGCCAACAATACAATACAACCGCTGCCAAAACCACCAAAACCAGCACGTGTCCTCATCACGTTGCTGACGTCATCAGACCGCAACGACACTGTCCAGACAGACGCGGCAAGACGGCCCAGACAGAGGCATTGTTTTGCTATCTCAATTACGAGCGTAATAACAATCATCCACGGCTGCATCACAATCTTCCTCCGTGCGCCTTTACATCATCGCCCCTACTTTGCAGTTTGCACCGTACACTGATGTTGGCCTGTAAATCACTCTAACAAGGTTGAACGACCCCGTTTGCATTTTTCCCTCCAACACCGAACACACACACTGACACACACACAACTCGATAAAGCCGCATTTCCGCGGCCGCTCGGCAAACTTCCAAGCTCGCAAGAGTGTAGTTGCGGCGCCCACGTTGCAAATTAACGATCGACTGTTGCAATTGCAAAAGCGAGGACACTGCAGCCAGCCCGCATATATACAAGATATACAATACACGCACTCCAAATGCGCTGGGCCGTTTCTCGCGCTAACCGATAATAATCAGAGTAAGGAGGCGCAGTGCACTGGCTGCGGTATTCTAATAAATTTATCTGCCTGCCGCTAAACGCGTATACGCCGCAGCGCAGCCAGTAGTTGTGTGTGAGTGTATGATCTATCTAGCTGCAATTTTCTTTCCACTCGCTAATGTTCCTTTTAGCCGCTGCGCCCAGCCGCACAATACACACGTAGTACATCACAACATTGGCGCACGCATTTGCCTTCTCGCACACAGTACGCACAGCAGCCCACAAAATTCATCAGCAGCTGCCGCAGCGCTGTGCTGTACTTTATCCGCTTGTCGGTTATGCACAGTACGCGCTGATCATCGTCTCCAAGCAAGAGAGCGCTGACACGCTAACGCACGCAAAGAACCACAACCAACATGGCGTCCCTTTTCCCCACTGTGGACCCGTGTCCCAGGTATCTCGTCATCAATCAGCCGGTCAGTGTGACGTAATTAAACAGGCACTGCGGCGACAGAGCGCCGGCTCCGCCCACCCACCAATGGCGGGCGGCCACGGCCCGCCCATCGTTGCCATGGCAACCGCCACATTTTTTAATGACCAATTCAGCATGTGTTGACAAAAGCCGCGACAATCACCAGACAAACACCACCCCACCACAAAACCACGCCTGACCTTGACTTCACCACCAAGGACCCGTGCAAGCCGAAGCTATATATAACGCGGGAACGAAGAATGCCGCCAGAACAAACAGACCAGTGACGAGCGCGGCAGCGATGACTCGACACTTTGGCCCGGCCAGCGCGCATCTGGGGCCACACACTTCGAGGCCATCTGCATGACCTTAGACTCTCATCCCTACTCTCCACAACCACCGTATCCAACGCACATATCAGGTGCAATACCAACCCCCCCAAAAAACCCATCGCCACCGGCGTCTATCAATCGATAAACACACCTACGCATATCACTACACTTACCGCTGATAAAAAATTCCATAGATAATTGGGATAATCATGCACAAATCAAGAACACACATCCAGTATACGCGGTTGACAAGTTGTGAAAAACCTGCATTACAGCTCGCTCTCGCTATATCACGGCATTTGCAAGTTGATGCTGCTGGCATGCAATACTGTATAGTGCAGCCGTTTTAGTCAAGCAGCAGTAAGTAAATTTCTCCTTCGACAAACGATTTTCTACCAAATGGATATCGAGTGCAGCTGCAATAACGCCAACCGTGAAGCAGCCAGCCGCAGCAGTTGTGTGATGTGTGTACACTGTGTAGTGTGTACTATCTGTGTGCCGTATTGCAGGCTACGAATACAATGCATAGCCCAGCATGAGTACACCGCTTAAAGCGCGGCGGCAGCTAATCATAATGCAATACAGTACGATGTGCAGGCAGCGTGTACAGATGCGGCTCAATGGCGCAGCCGAGAAAATGAATGCCGTTGTGATACGGAACAAGTCTACCAACTACCGAAAATGAGCCGTATAGACTTTCCTATGTTTCCACGCACACACAACGATTCCACTGCGTGTACAGCGCAAAACAGATCACGTCGATAAAGTGCAATGTGATTTCATGGTGAATGTGTTGTCTCGCGATGCACTGTCCCCGTCCTGAATAGGGCACTCCAGGATTTTTTGGCAGTTAATTGGACAAATTATGGAGATTGCGATGATGATGATCTTATCAATTAATCCGATATCGATTGATGACCGACGGGCTGAGGTGATGCGGCTGAGTGCTGACGCTGAGGCGACGGCTCAGTATCGCACACTCACCGTCAGTCTGCTCTTTGATTGGCTGTTGCGAAATTAAGGCGGAGCAACTCAGCTCGTGGAGAAGTATGCATGAGTCATCAGCTGTACGTGTGAATCTGTGATATCATTATTTATCACGTAAATTTCGGAAAACTTCTTTTTCTTTTCACTTTCGGTTTTACTTTCCCTTTTGTGACGTTCACAACAAAACAGCACAGTTTAACCTAATTTCAGTCGCTGCCTTCCAGAATCACGGACTCCAGATAATAGATTACGGCAGCAAGCCGACGAAACCACAACACAGCGACGCAGCGGATTCGTCGGATTATCTGGGATCAGCGGATTTCCCCTACCATCTCCTCCTGCACATCCTGCGCTACCTGTCCCCCCGGGACATCCTCGCCAGCCTCTTCCCGGCCAACCAGCACCTGCACCGCGTCCTCGGCGAGGAGTCCCTGTGGCGTTCCCGCTTGCGGCGTGTCTTCCGCGCCCAACCGTATCCCATCCTCCCGGGTCCGGAGTCCCCGGGGGAGTGGCGCCGGCGCGCCTACCATGTGGAGACGGAACGGGAGATGTATCGGGAGGAGGCGGACACCGTCTGCCCGTTGACGCGGCGGGTCTTCCAGATCGCCGAGGATGGGCATCGCGTCAACGCCGTGCATTTCCTACGCGGAGGTGAGGCAGTCGTTATTTATGGTTAAAAATTTTATAGAAAATGTTTTATTACAATTATAAAATGTAAGGACATTTTTAATTTTTTTTTGAATAATTTAAAAGGAAAGAAAGAAAGTAAGGTAAATAGTTGTACAATTAATAATTAATAAGAAATAAATTGCATTTCATAATAACATAATGAGAACTGGTAGCTTAAGAAAAATAAGTGAAGTGTGTGGATAAATAGGGCGATGGCTGGTGGCCGGCGGGACGGATCACCGCGTGACGCTGTGGGACGCGGAGGCGGTGCAGCAGGCGCCGAGCGGGCCCAGCGGCATTTCCGACGGGGACCATGTGGAGGCGGCCCGCTCCGTGCTGCACAAGCACGCGGTTAGTTCTCCTGTTAGAGATGTTTTTCCGCCATCTCTACCGGATTAATTTAACCAAAATTGAATACTAAAAAGCTGAGTCAAATTAAATGAAAATGACCTGTTTTAAACTAATTAAAATGGCGATTTGAGTTTCCGTGACATTATTTTTAATTTTTTGATCGATTACATTATTTATTATGGCAAAATTAGTCCGCGTAAACTCTAAACAGAAAATGTTCAGAAATCGAAAACTGCTGTATAAAATTATTTAAATTACTGTACTCGTATATAATTCACAAATTAATCAATTTTATCACGAAATGTGCATAGTTAAATTTAGCAGGAAATGTGAATAATCGTGATTTGCTGGAATTGCGCAGGACTGGGTGACATCCTTGCAAAGCCGGGAGGGTAAAGTCAGCAGCGGCTCCATGGACCGCACCATCAAGATCTTGGACGTGCACGCTTCCGCCGGGCGCCGGCTGTCCGTGGCGCCCACCATCACCTTGCTGTGAGTCGTGTGCATGACGGAACACTTCAATAAACGCCGAATTCTACAGCCCAGCGTTTTTGCAGGAGCGAGCGCGGAGTATTTTGTCACGCTTGGCAGAACGATCTTGTCGTTGCCGGCTATCACAGCGCGGTAAGCGGACACCGTAGCAATAAACAGGGATTTTAGAAATCCCAACAAAATTTTTAAAAAACGGAAAAAATTATTATGTAATATTATTAACAAAATTATGACTAAATGCCTGACGGTTTCAGGTGGAACTCTTCGACATCCGCAGCAAGAACACCCCGATCCTGACCAAGACATCCGAGCACGACGATCTGAATCTGGTGTGGGATATTGCGTTCCGCGGGCAGCAGGTCTTCCTTCTCTCCAGCGACGGGGCGTTGCGGGTGCTGGACCTGCGCTCGCGCCGCTTCACCAGCAGCATTACGGTACATTATTAAATAACTTCCGCGGACATTCTCCTACATTCGAATAATTGTAGGAATAATTCTTATTATTATTTTAGAATTCTTAAAATAATTTTATATTTTTTTTTACGAATGTTGATGAAATGAATTAAATTCAATTGATAAATCTTCTAATCTTAAATTGATAATTAATCTGCTGCGCAGATGCCGGTGGGAGAGCACGGTGTGCGTTTATCCCTGCACGACGGAGTGTGCTGCGTGGCCAGCAACGGCGGCGGCGTGCGGATGTACGCGGCCGACAGTCTGCAGCTGCTGGAGGATCTGTCGGGGGCCTTTGATTTCTCCCGCGAGCACCGCGTCGTCGGCGTGCACTACAACGACGCCCACGTGCTGGCCGCCTCGGCGCAGGGCCTGCTCAGGATGCTGGAGCCAGTGCGCGCCGGCCGCGTCCTCTGGCAGTGGAGGCCGCCGGCGGGAACCGGAAGTGAGTGTTACGCTGGGAAAAAATACAGTAATAACGTAGTAAAGATGCAGCAATACAGTAAAGTGAAAAATACAGCAGTAACATTGTAAAAAATGCAGTCAATCAAGTAGTAAAAAAGAGAGCGGTCAATATTATTAAAATATTAAGATAAAAAATTGTATTGCAGACTTCCGGTGCATGGATTACGCTGGTGATAATTCAATGGCGGTCAGCAGCACCAACCACATGTGGCTGTGGCGTCCCCGGAACTAAACGAGTCCTTTTTTTACCGGTTAATCTCCTTGTGATTTTCGCGATGGTTTTGCGTCCATTGTGATAACTGTTGTCCAGTGTACAATAAAAAATTGTAAAAGAATTAGTAAACGAAAAAGGTGACAAAAAATGCAAGTAAATCAGCAATAGAACAAAATATTAGCAAACTAATTACATAAGTTTGTAGCTCTTTTCCACACTATTAATTTATTTCAGTGGCTTTTATCTCAGTTGATTTCGTTTCTATCAAACTAATGCATATATTTCGTTAGAACTTAAAAGTAAGTACTGTAGTTAATTATGCTAACATTCAGGTATCTTTGTGAATTTGTATTTTCTACTCACTGGTCAGTTACTTCATTGATTTTCTGCATACCTAATTTTTTCTGATCAGTTGCTGCTATTGTTCTGCAATTTCCTTGAATAACTTTCTTCCTACACAGTTAATTCCACTTAATTCATTTTGTTTTTCGCTCAGATACTCCGCTAATTTTGCTTGAGTTACTTCGTTATAAATTAAATTTCTTCGTGTGATTATTCCCTGGTGTCTTGAGAAAAATCGAATTTTTCAGAAACATCTGGTGACGCGATATGGGAGGCGGAGTCGCGGTTTAGCCAGGACCATCGTTACATTAATTTGAATATTATTCGTATTAATATATTATTAATAAAAACTATTATTTTGCTTGCAAAGGAGGCCAGTGATGGTCGTATTAGTAGTAGTGTGACAGAATAGTTGGACTACAGTAATAGTAATCATTAATCACCGACACACAGCGTGGCACGCAGGGACGACTCGAACTGCTTTATAACCAAATTTTCACGATCAACGGCGTGGGATGCAAAATCCCAAAATTACAAAAGCCACATGAACATAACCGCTCCCGTTCTGCCCGCTCCACGATGGTGGCCTGTCACGGGTGGACATTCGGCGCCTGCGGATTCCCCGGCCCATCGCCGCCCTCTCCGTCGGCAACGTGGCCAGCCGCTGCCGCCGCAGCCGGACCACCTCCTCCCGCCGCCGCTGCGCCGCCGCCGCCCGGCACGGCCGTCCGCTGCACCGTCGTACGGCCAACCCGCCAAGGCGCCTGCATGCGCTCCTGCCTAGAGAGAAACAATTGGTCAGAGAAACTGCATCGCCGCCGAAGATTCAACAGGTTGCCAGCAGTTGCGTACAGGGACCCTCGAATCCTCCCTACCGTATCCTCGCGAACTTTCTCCCGACTGTCCTCATCAACCGCCCGGCGGACGTGGAGCCAGTAGGGCACGCCCGCGACATGGAAGCGCCCATGGTTGATCCCCATCGGAGCCTCCCCCCGCCGCCTCCACGACGCCGATATCGGCCAAAATTTGCCCCCGACGCTGTGCGTCCCCGCGTAGTCTCTCGGCTTCATCAGCGCCTGCAAACAAGCGAGAAACTGCTCAACAAATCTCACTATCACAGCCTGAAATCGCGATTTGTTATTACTGAAATACACCGCGAATTCCAGTGCAGCTGCACCGTCTCCTACGGCGTCTCCAGCCAGTGGCCCGGGAACGAACACCACCGCCACACGGTCGATGGGGTTGAGGAAGCGAGCGCCGTGGGGATCCATCTCGGCACGGTAGCGTTCAAACTCCCTCTGACTGCAAACACATTTAACGTTGCCAGACTACTCTCCCCTTTCCATTTAGTGCCGTTCACTTACATGCGGTTCGTGATCATGACGGCCATGAAGTCGCGCATTTCGCCATTGTCAATGGTGATGGGGATCGGCACCTCGATCCAGTACGGCAAGGCCAGCAAGTGAGGGACGGGCAGAACTGGATCAACGATGGTGGGGATTTTGCGCTCCCCATAAGACCCCGAAACCCGTCGTCGATCTCGTCGCTGAAGTGCTGCCAGCGCTGATTATTTTCCCGTAAAATCCGGGCTTCCTCGGGGCCTGTAACGAAGAGAAATGGAGGATCTTTCACCATTTGTGCACACTTTCAAAACGGCATCCCTAGCGTCACTACAGCGCAATCTGTTAGAGCCAGCAAAACTGAAAAAACTTTGCAACCGCGAAACGGCAAACGCACATAAATATCCTGCGAAATTAAGGCGCTCCACACCGCCCATTGCGAATCCGTAATAATAATACTAATAATAGTAATAGTAATACTAATAATAGTAACCCTATAATAAGAAACAATAAGCGCTGAAGAGACTGAAATTTTGAAAATTTTTGTCAGTCGCCGAGTGTCGACTACGAGTACGCGTCGCAGCAGCAGCATGGAGAATGGCAGTAGTACAGACTGCAGAGAAAGCGCGCGGAATGATAGTCTCGGCTCACTTCCCGAGGCACTTCCACAGTTCGGCTGAATCAAGAACAGTCTGTTTCATTTTTATTACTGTACCTTGCAACGAAGCCTTCGCGAGGGACTCATTAATTTTATCGGAAAAACATTTTCATAATCTAATTGCTGGCAACCTGCAGCTTGTTGGCCGTGGCTAAACTAGCAGCCACAGGCAGTCAGCAAGTAGAGGTGAACAGGATAAGAGCGCCAGCAAAATGCCTGTTGCTGCATGTTTTTCCCTTCCCGCCTTGCCATTCCCCTGCGCCAAAGAATTTTTAACAGCAGCAGATGCTGTCGCCGCCGTCCTATCTGAACAATCCCACTAACCTGGGGATCACCGTCGTTTCTCCACCGCGCTTAGCTACAGCGGCACGCTCCTCGCCGCCCCGCATGACGACATGCCAACCGCCGCAAGGCGTCACGTGGCCATTGTCAGGGATGCGCTCTCCGTGCGCGCTCACTGCACTGCTCTCGTCCCGCCCAGTGGGCCGCAATAGAGTGCGTTCAACACGACAGTCCCACGTACAGCCACTGCGACCTCCCGCTTCTGTAGCTTGTAGCCGTTACTCGTTAGGATAGCACCTGCGGGAAGGGATGCTGGAAGTGGCAGGAGCCTCGAACAGCCTCAAGAAGGAGCCGACGAATGGAACTAATGATAACTGGGCTGGGGCAAGATGGTCTCCACAGCGGCCGCGAGACCGCCAACGGATGGGATATCCCAAGTGACCCTGTCAGAAGAGAATTCCGTAAGTCAGTAAGTGCTACCGTACGAGCAGTAAATGTACATGTATAAGCAGACTATACAACATGTCAATTCGTGCCTTAACAGCATGCGCCGTGAGAAGTCAGAATGCATGACTACGCGGAGGCCATTATCGCCGCGCGACGAGGTCACCGCCGCCGCCAGCCGAAATCTGACCCGCCCTGAATCGCACCACCGCAACCTGCAACGCTCGATACACAACTCCGGCCCGACGCTGCGGTCATGGATCACATCATACACACAATCCGCTAAGATGATTAGATCATCGAGGGATATGGGGCTGGTATGGAGAAGGCGCGCTGGCAGTCTGGGAAGAGCCTCGGGATAGAGGTACACCTTTAGTGCTATGGTTATGGCAGCTTCCTGGCCTTATGGCGTTATGGCGTTATGGCAACACACTGGCCATTGGGTATTAACTGCTATTATGAGAAGAACCGGGACAATACGGAGGCCAACGACCTGGCGAATGAATCGGGGGTGCTGTGCGGCATCTTCGTACTGGAGGAACGCTTCTTCTCCTGGAGCGATAATTCCTTGCGGGACGCCTTGCCTAATGCCTTGTCATCCCAGACGGAAGTCCTGGTGCACATGAACGCCGTTCTCTGGCTGTGGCGTGTGCACAACGGCGTCATCAAGCGGCTGGCCTGGATGGGACCGAAGAAAGCCCTTTCGATCCGGCCAGCGGCGCTGTACCCGAGTCCCGACCTGTGGCGATACCGGCGGGCGAGTGACGGCCTATCCTCGCTATGACGGGGAGGCTTCCCGGTGAATGGAAGCGGCGGTGGGAGGGGGACGACCGCGGCCGTGCTGTTCGGCGTGGCGCCGAGGCTGCAGGCTTGCAGCGCGGTTAGATGGTGACCTTGGCTGGTGAAAGCGAACGGCACCTGGCGGGCTAGAGGCGCCGCGGGCGTGGCTGGAGTCGGCGTGGTCGAATTTCGGCATCCGATGCTCACTCCGCGTCAAATGGACCTGACATAGTCCATTACTGCCCTGCCGGCGTCTTCTTCTCAGGCTAGAGTTGCCAGCGCGCCTGTGCCTATGTAGAAAACTTCAACGTCAAAATTAACAAAGTTACACATTTCTAACGACTGTATTCCTGCCGCGTGCGACATGGGCCACCGCCCGCGACGTTGCTGCTTCAGTACTGGCATGGTTTTTATTGCGCAATCATAATGTAGTGCATTGTAACTCTGTAAGTACATAAAAAATTAAATTAATAATTAAATTAATGCAATAAATTAAATTAATAATTAAATTAATGCAATAAATTAAATTATATATGAATATACTTATTATAATTACTAATTAGTGTCACTATAATTATCCAATATATAGTGTCACTACAGTAGCCAGCTCTTTCAAATGGAGATACAAGCCCGTCTTGGTTAGGGACGGGTGATCACTGTAAAGCCGAGCAATATAATATATAATACATAGGCTTTGCATATGCAGTACTTCCAGTAAAAATCATTAAAAAAGCCGTAGTGTGATGGCTGCTGCCGTTCTGTAGTAGCGGATTATTAGGAGTAGTTGAGGATTTAAAAAACTTGATAGCAGTACATGTACTTACTTTTCACATTTCAGTTGTTACAGTTACAGTACATTACGACTTAATCAGGTACTGTACGAGTGCTTACCTGTCGTTCCTGTCACGGAGGCTTTCGGTTACCGAGCACTGACAAGCGCTGACGATGTTACGGTAACATTGTTGCCTGCCGCGTACCTGCGGAAACCCATTGCCACCTCTGCAGTCTGCAATATCGTAAATCGTGATAGAACTGAAGTCGGTCGCCTTCATAAACACTGTTTATTCGTGAACACTCGTACTGTAGGATTGTAGCTATCGTTCAAAACATACAGATAATGCTCTTTTTAAAGCCACATGATTACTGCGCCCTCCGTTACTGTACTCTGTATAATACATTATACAGAGTACATACATCGTGTGCAGTAGAAGTGTACAACCACAGAGACTGGTAAATAATGTAATAAGTATCTATACATACATATACTGGTACTACCAGATGTTTAGACAAATAATAATATAATAAATGATTATTCTTATGTAATAATATCTATATAGAAGACTGGTATAAACTTTCTCTGTGGTACAACGTATGCAATTGTACATACCTCTTACCCAAGGCGCACTGGCTTATAATATTATCGATTATTTCCTCCATGATCAGAGTACAGAACCCATCGCTCACGTTAAGGAATATTCCTTTCATGTTTGATGCCACAATAAAACAAGTATTTTACTTGTAGATATAAATATTGTATAATTTGGTTCTCCAGAGTCGTATCCACGTAGGAAATGAATTTTCTCTCTGTAATTTATGATGATGAAACATGATGAAACGATCGTATGTGTATTAAATCCTACCGACGGCCTCTCATTATTTTACGAGTTCTAGACTTGTCGGTAGGTATGGAAATTCAGCTACTACTGTATTAATTTTATCGAATCGATAACTACAGTACTCGTATTAGAGTCCGTAAATCGTCACAATTTTGGCAGCGAAACGAAAAATTTTGTCGTACTGAGCAAACGTAACGAAACTTAACTGCACGCTTCCTGTCCCATAAAATAACGAACCTTGACGAATTTATAAAATATTTGAGCGCAACTTAACGATAACTTTCGATATTTTTCCGTTAAAAAAACTGAACGCAACGAAATCGCAAAATACAAATCACAGTAGTAAGCGTTCCTGGGGTTAATTTTATTTATCTGAACTTTCTATGTCGTTCCACATCAAAAATAGTAGATCAGAATCAGATCATCAAGCTTCTATGAAAATTGCAGCTTGCACTTTTGCAGTTCACTAGTGCCGTTATGATTTGCAGTGCTGTGAAGCTATAAACAACATGTGCTTGCGAAACACTAGTGCAGTGTCTAGAACTGGGAGTTTCGCAAAGCGTCAGATTCACTGTGTACAATAGGTTGCAGCTTCCAGTGTGCGCTTATGAAGGAGACCCTGTTTCGGGCGCCCAAAACACTGAATTATTTGTCCAGGCGCAAGAGACGCACGCACGAGTGCGGCTGGCGTACAATTGGAAAATAATTTATTTTATTTTCTAAATTCCACATCGGTATCTTTTTGACGAAGAGAAAGCGACTCCAAAATTTCAATATAACTTCGCGAAGCGAGAATACATTTTCTTATAACGAAACTAACGAAGCGGTGCTCAGAAGTCCGTAAAACATGCGCGGGGCTTGACGATTCGTTTCGTTAACGTTCGTTAAGCTTCGTCAAAATGACGATTTACGGACTCTAACTCGTATACACTATACAGCCAACGGCCCAACGGGTTGCGCTAGCTTAGCAATTACAGCTAAAGGGAAGTCACTCAAGTCAGTGGTGAGTCGAGTAGTGTGTGTCGCATGATACGTATACCTTCTCTGTAGGCTGTAATTCTCCAGTCAGCTTCTAGCGTGACAGCGTCTATCCTTCGTACTGCCAGTACTGCATAGTGCATAGTGCATAAAATTAATGCATACTGTGCTGAATATTTAAATGCATACTGTGCTGAATCAGCCTGTTGATTAGAAGTTGGTTAGAATGCAGCGAATGTTGATTAGAAGTTACTGTAATGTACTCAGTCAGCGAAGTGACTGGAGCAGCACGGGGAAGGTTGTGTACTGTGTAGTTCTGTGTGTACTTATTTATTTAATAAATGCATACTATAAAATTATAGACTGTTCGTATTTGCATACTTTTGTACAGTAGGTACTCGTAATACATCCGCGGGGGCTTTGGAGCTCGTGCTGAAGTGATATACCTTATACCTGCAGTTCTTTGTTGCAGTAAGTGAACATTGTATTGTAATTATTTTCCGCTCATATCGATTAGCGATGGGATAGGAAAACGCGCACTGACGTTTGGGATGTGGGATAATGCTCGCATTAAAGCCATAGTAAACTAAACGGCGCAAATGTGGCTAGGCAGAGATCCAGTCGATGCGAGGGACCTGACCAGTAGGCCCGTAGGGCAATGCTTATACGTACGAGACGGTAGTTGCAGCCATATCTCTGCAGAAAATTACGCGGCCCGCGCCCATGTGTCATGCCCGCAGCCGGCGCAGTAAAGGTTTTTTGCAGACAGAAGACCGGATGACATGTTTTGTTTTGTCCGGAAGCAGGCATCAGTTCTAATACCAGTCGATACAACTTAAACTATAGATGCGGGGTTCTTGTATTAAATTTTAGTGAACTTTTACGTACTTGCCCGTTACTCTAGTAGAAGTATGCATGTACGAGTATGCTAGTTACAGTTGGTAAGGCTTGTTATCGCCTGTCGGCTGTCACTGTTGAGTGTTGACTGATTTGTGTAGTTCTTTGAACAGTAGCATAATATTACTAAACTGACAGGTATCCAATCGAGCTTGCACCTTGTACGATGACGTCACGGTAGATAACCTGCACCATGCGTCGGAGTAAGCAGCCCCTGCGGGTTTGGTACTTTTCAAAACTCTCAGATTCAAACAACTTGTTCGTACTATGGCTCAAAAAATGGAGGAAAAAATTTTAAGTTTGCCAATGCGAAAGCTGGCGAGTAGAAAGTTATCAAGAAAGCGGAAACTTCACGATTATGTAATTCTCGTTTAGCATTGAGGTCTACGAGGCAGCTTGCCATAGACATCAATGCTAAACAAAACTACTTCAGTTGATAAAAAATCTAACTGTTTGGTTGTTTTAATTGACTGATTAGAGTTCTGGATGTTCTGTTTTGATTAATTGATTACATTTTAATTGTTTTGATTTGATCACAATGAAAAAATCAATATTTTTGTTTACCGTAGCGGTCTATGGCAAACAGCCTCATAGACCTCAGTGCTAAACCTGAATTACATAAATCGCAAACGCACGCAAACAATTACATAAATCGCATTTTTCGTTTCCCTGATAACTTTTTACTAGCCAACTTTCGCTTCACAAACTTGAAATTTTTTCCTCCATTTTTTGAGCCATAGTACGAACAAGTTGTATGAATTTGGGAGTTTCGAAAAGTGCCAAACCCGCAGGGGTTGCCCACTCCGACGCACAGTGCAGGTGCGCTGCCGTGACGTCATGTTAGTCGATTGGATACCTCTGTGTTTAGTAATATTATGACAGTTAACAGAACAGTAAAATGTTAATAATACCGTACTGATTTAGTAGCGCATTAAACAAAAACTAATGTTTATGTATTTTATTTTCAATTAACGTAAGTTGTTGTTTTATTGTTGTTTTTTTATTGTGACTACCATGGCTGATGCAGCCACTGGGAAAACGGAGGACTTCCAGCCGCAGCCAGTCGTTCTTCGACGTTTTCCCTGATGGCACACCAGCAAACCAGTGGTCCTTCGCCAAGCTGATACCTTTGCTACGAAAGCTTATGCCAGCCATATTTAATGATCTGATTAATGTTTGGGAAAATCCGAATGCGGCCTTGAACCCAGCAAAAGATCTCATCCAAGACTACGTTCCCCCGATGATAACTCAGCTCATCCAGGAACATGCCCCGAGCTTGGTTGCAGAAGCGACTCTGGAAAATCAGCGACCTAAATCTCAGCTCAGCTCAGTGGAAGCCCAGCTAGCGGAAAGTCGGAAGAAGTATGATGAGCTTGCTTCCATTGTGCGAATAACCTCAGTAACGAAGTCAAAGCCATGAAAGGTATCCAAGCAGCATCCTCCTCGGACACCGTCGAAGTTGGTCGATTAGCGCTTCAGCCCAAAGGGTTTCGATCGACCACGATGACGCCTGTCAAGGATCCTGTTTTCGAAAGCTTTGACGAAAGTTTCCCCTCACCCTCACTTGGAAGTCAACAAACCCAGTTGTCAACCCCAGAGATTCCTGTGGTCCCTCCGTGTTTTGATAGTCCTTCTCTGAATTCGTCAAATACGCGGAACTCATGGTCGACAGTAGCGAAGAAGAAACTGGTTCGCGGTGCGCGCAGTGTCGGTTCGGCCTCCAGCGAAGACATCGTAATGTCAGCACTGCAGACGAAACGTTCCCTCAAGACAGACAAAGAGAAAGAGAAAAAGGACTTCTGTCTGCATGGCATCCCCCCTCTGGAGCAGACCAACCATTCGTCACTAGATGATTACAGCAAAGATTTCAAACGCGTCATTGAATCAAACGGGATCTCTGTTAGATTTGTGTCTATCTATTCTGCTAAAAGGGCCGCAAGAATCTCTTTGCGCGTGTTGGTTCATTTGCTCACGAATCGGATAAGATGTTTGCCCCTGAAAACTGGCCCCCTAACATTGGGGTGCGTGAGTGGATGTTTGCCCCCAAGGAGGGTCAGCAGTCTGTTTTACTGTTTAAATTTTCAATCATTTTAATTAGTTTCTACCAGCGCAAGCTTATTGTTATGTGAACTGGCCATTGCCGAATTAAACATCCAGTAATTAACGTAAGTACTGTACTATAGTAAACAGGGATGTCTTTATTACGTACATATGATATCAGATTGTACTGTATCATAGTTTACATATTACAAGATACTGAATAATAAAGCATGTTGTACGTCTTACTGTACATACTGTACATTCTTCAGATCGACACTTTTCGGTGGGAAGTGGGTAACGGCAGCCAACTGCAGTGAAAGATTGAAATCGTCTTGGTGCACCGTGGATCCGACCGGCTCCGATTCGCGTAGTTTCTTGGGAATCACTACTTGTACAAGCCCGTCCGGATAATGAGCACGTAAAGGTACAGCTAATGAATACTGAGCGCGCTATTCGCGCTTAGCACGATGGCCACTAGGCCCACTATGTACACTACGTTTAGGGGGCATCCATAAATTACGTACGCAGAAAACCACGGTTTTTTCACCCCTCCCTCCCCCTTCGTAGCGGTCCGTCACGTCTGCTTGACCCCTCCCCCCTGGTTCGCTCAGTCGTAATACATGGAGCTGACCACCCCCTCCCCCCTGGGTTCGCCGGGGCCGTCACAGTTTGTCACGTTTTTCTGACCCGTCCCTCCCTGGTTCGCTGCGTACGTAATTTATGGATCCCCCCTTACCACAGTGCGTAAATGGCTTCCGCAGTCAGATTGCCCCTTACTGCACCGACCGTTTTCTAGCCACCTTTCGCCAGGCAATTACGATTATACCGTAGTCTAGCTGAACAGACAGAGAGGCAGAGTTGAGCAGGCAGGTTCAGCTAGACTACATTATACTCAATAAAATATATGGCATGCACCAAACCACCAGCCAGCCAAACGCATGTAATGTGTATAAAAGGCGTGGCGGGACGTAGCATGTTGTTTGGCGTAACCCATGAATTTACATTTTTCGCTGTTCTCTATCGTGCTTATCATCCGGACAGGCTTGTACTACAACTCTTTTAATGGAAAGGGAGAGCGGAATGAGGGTCTTCTAGCTATGGACACCCGGTCTAGGTCCGACTAACATCCACGGTGCCGCGGGAATGGACGCCGCCACGGCCGCCCCCTGCCGGCATCTGCACCACCGGGACGATCCGCCTCCCGAATGCCGTCGACTGGGCCGCAGTGTGGCCCGCGCCAACACCGTTGTACTGCAGCATCCACAGCATGAGGACGTGTGGTGTGTGGGCTTCGTGGAGGACGTGTCGGATGCGGGCGACGAGCTGTACATCAGCTTCCACTGCGACACACTGCCAGCGCGCTGGATTGCCGCGCACCGGCTGTACGAGCACCCGTTGTGGCATGCTGGCTGCGGTGATCGCGTCCACGTTGCGCTGCGCGCCAACCGCCACGAGCCGCTGGTGTGGGAAGCGGCGATCGTGGTGGATCGCACCGCTGTCAGCGCCCATCCGGGCGCTCTATGGCACGTGGAGACCAGTGTCGGCCGCTCGCGGCACTTGATCCATGTGTTACAGTTGCTGCTTGATCAGCCAGTGCGTACGCTGGGCGGGGCCTCCCGCCGAGACGGCGCCTACGTACGGTACCGGGTGCCGCTGCCCGTGCCGGCGGCCCATGCCGACCGCGTTAACGCCGTCGACGAGAACCGTGTGTACTACGAAATCAGACGTGCACGCCGCGATTTACAGCGCACTGGCGACTGGTGTCTTAACTCGGGCAATGGCTACTCTGAACGCTTCTTTTTCCGTCTGGAGAGGAACAGCGCATTATTCGTCTGCTGGGAATACGAGGAACGGCTGGATGACCGGTATCACTGGACGGAGCAAGTTTTGGCTGACTGTGTTCAGCGATGCTTTGAGTGCGGCGCACTGGCGGTTGTCCTACCCATAGAGGCCGACAACAACTGGCTGCGGCCAAGAGGTATTCTTATTTAGGGCCATACTATAGACTACTCACGATCACTACTCGTATGGTCGTTTAAGTGAAACACTATGATAAGTGAATGGGCGATGGTCGCTTAAGTAAAACACTTGAAATATCATTTTCCACAAACCGATGTTCTTTCGGATTTTTTCCTCATTCGGTTAAACAGGACGTACTCTTTACAGAGTACCTGAAATTTTTAAAAAAGCTTGAACCGTTTTCTTGCAAATACGTCGTAAAGAATTCGGTGACGAAAGCTTTTTAGCCACGCCATAATTGCCACTGCACTACGCTATAATAATTGCAACCACCGCCATACATGGGCGGCTGTACCGTCGCCGGAGAAGAAGTTTATTTAGACTAAATCTAATTCAGCTTCTACGTCAAAGATTGTCGTTGACGATACAGCGGGGGAACACGGCCTCAGTTTTGGGAACAATGGAAGGAGCAGAAAAATTAAACGAAGTTTTAATGTTGTAAAATTGTGATGTTTTTTTGATCATCTAATATTACGTTGTACCACAGGTGAATAAAGAAACATTCAGCTTAAAGACACCAACTTCAAAGAAGCGAAGGAAGAAATTCAGTTGAACATAAATTTACTTGAACTGAATTAGCAGCCGCACATGAGCGGTGGCAGCAGTTATTTGAGCGTAGTGCAGTGGCAGTGGTGGCGTGGCTAAAACGCTTTCGTCACCGATTTCTTTACGACGCATTTGCAAAAAATGGTTCAAGCATTTTTAAAAATTTCAAGTACTCTGTAAAGGGTACGTTCGGTTTAATCGGATGAGGAAAAAATCCGAAAGAAAATCGGTTTGTGGAAAATGATATTTCGGGTGTTTCACTTAAACGACCATATGTACGAGTAGTAGTAGTCACTTGTTACGACACACGCTGTTTATGTTTGCAGAACAAACACTGCCTGCAATGTTATGCTTTTGGGAGATTTGCGTTTGTGTGCAATTTGTTTCGAAACTCATAGTCGTGTGAAGATTTAATTCGAAAGTTACGAATAAATGTTATGTTGTCGCTACTGAGAGTACTGTTAATGCAGCATTATGTGTTGCAGATATCGGCCAGGACACGCAACCATGCATCACCGATCTGCCGGGAGAAATACTCCGGGATGTGCTGGATTGTGTGGATGTCTGCAGCCAAGCTGCACTTCGGAGGTAAGCTAGGAGCATCGCTGTAAGGTTAATTGTATACATCTAAGGGAAGTGTGCCGCATTATATTCCTGTAAATTGAAGGGAGGTTCCGCTTTCGCGCTTTCGAGCAGTCTCGGACACTTTTTTTACCCTGTTCCATGACATTCTCTAGCCAGATGAGATTTGTATAGAGGTATGAATTGCGCCGAAACCGTTTGCGCTCGCAACATCCGGTTGGTGATATGTGGAAAAATAATATTCCGAAATATTTAAATGCATTCAGTGAACCAAAAATCTCATCATGTACTGTAGCCGCCCGCACAAGTTAGACCACAGAGTCGGTATACGGGAAAAAAGCGCAGCAAATATACCTACTCTAACCGGGCAAAATGCACGGCTGCCGTACCAAGCAACCATTTGATTGTCAGCGATCATTTTTTCTTGGAAAACTGAATGATTGAATTTGAAATCACGACTTCTTCGTTATTCCTTATTATTTTCCTGGAGTTATTCCGCTCTGCATCTCGCAATAATCATCCCCGTACAGAGTAACGCTCCTTGGTGCAACGCTAAATCACCCCTACCCTGCCAGGGGCACCCCAAAAACCACAACAAATCTGGTTTATCAACCAAATGATCAAAGATCTAAATGTTTTTGCTTCCTTTAAGTTTAATGCTAGAAAACACAGTCTCTTCAGTCAAATTGTGAATTTAAAACTTATTAGAACGTCTGAGAACGTAGTCAAAAAACCGTGCATTTTGCCCGGTTAGAGTTGGTATATTTGCTGCGCTTTTTTCCCGTATACCGACTCTGTGGTCTAACTTGTGTGGGCGGCTACAGTACCAATTTTTTTCTGATTTTACAGGTAAACGCACTACGCATATGATTTTGGCGTTCGTATTTACACCGAACCAGAGTTTCCCCATGTTTTCATATGAATAACACTAAAGTGTAAATTTTTTTAAAATTTGCAAAAATGCCGTTAGACGGTTTAACTTTGGTTGCTCTACATTCGCGAACGGTAAAAGCCGAAAAAGGGATAACCTTAAAAAGCACGCTATTTGTTCAGCTGCTGCTGCATACGCATCCTTGTAGAGCCAGCCCGGTGTGGGAGGCGGTGTGGACGCACTTCAGCCCGGCGGCCATCATCCTGGACCAGAGCCGGCACGTGGCCAGCGTTAACCACTACGACGACATGTACCGTCTCGCCGTGCTCTTGCGCCACACACTGCGGCCGGCGGTGCGAACCCTGGCCGTCACCCGCTGGCGGCCGGGTCTGCGCGCCACCCACTGCTTCGACCGCCGCCCGGGGAGCGCGGAGAGGGATGTTAGTGTGATCGGCTTCGTAACACGCGCTGTCCATTCCCCACCGAGCGGGAAACTGCAGCGCATCGTGCTACATCAATGCATCACCAACTGGGAATTTCGCTGCTATTATTTCCGGCCCATGCGCTGCTTATCGCCGCTGCTCGACGTCTGCCATCAACTGGTCCTGGTTGACTACGTCATGAACGATTTCTGGGGGGGTTTTCCCCTGGTGCCGCACGACCGACCGCCCCGGGTGCCGCTGGCGCTGCCGTTGGTGCGCTTTGACGGCGCCCGGACGGACACGGTCCACTTCAGTACCATGCGGGCCGCCATGGAGGCCGCGGTGCCGGATGTGTCGGCCGACATGCGGGACTGCGTGGCGTCCATGCTGGCCAGCTGGGCCACACTCAGTCCGTTCTACGCCCAGTTCCTCCGCTTACTGCTGCACTAGTAAGTCTTTATATTTGTTTCTTTTAATTTGTCTTTTTTTTTACGATAGCGATGGGCAGCTGTTTAGCTTGTTGTTTGCCTAGCACTGAACCCAAGGATCCCCACTCCTGGACCTGGACGTCCATCGACTTCGTGCCGCAGGAGGACGAGGCTCAGCTCCAGCAGCTTTACCAGGTGCCAGTGCGGACCTATTGCAAGTTGACGGTGTATGTTCTCTTAGCACTGGCGCGCCACCGCGTCACTGGCTCACTGTGAGGCCTGCTACATTTCCAGCTACTTAATCAAGTCTGACCGTTGAGGAGCTTAGAGAAACGTTCTCGCTGCTGTTCGTCCTACCACGCCGTTGATTGCATTTGTATCTTGCACACATTAAACCCCAATACTGTAATCCGCGATAGCAGCTACTGTCTTGTGTATGCGAATACAGAGTACAACTGCAGTTTTGTAAGCAACGTACATTTCTGGGCTCAATATCAATGCCCCGTGTCAGCTCGCAACGGTTACAGTAAGAGGCTGTTGCGGTTGTGGCTATGCTGGTGAGCTGATCCGTGGGATGATGTTGACCTTTGACCTTACTGTCATGTATTAGGAAATGCGACGTTCACCCTAGACTGCTGGTACACTGCCACTTCGGCCACCTGACACTTAGTCCACCGTACATCTTGGCCTCTCACGCTTCTCTGTTTTTCTTAGATTTTCTTAGGTTTCTTAGGATTGTCGGTCTTTGTCTGTTTTCCTTGAAATAATTATTGATGGTGGTCCGTTTACACTTTCATCATTTCATTTACGGCATCAACTTAGCCACCGACAGATACTATATGGGACAAGCAACATACAGTAGAAATTAAATGAAATGAGATTATATTATTACTTACGCATAATGCCCGTACTGATTGCCAGTTCGACAATGCGAGTTCGACAACGTGCAGAATACATACGTGAGTACACAATTGTACACCTGTGCGGCAGAGTCAAAAATGAGCGGCCAGTCGTAAGCCAACTCCACTGCCAGACTGCGCGGCGGCCGGCGTCGTCTGACAGTGGAAGCCGCCGGCGGGAACCGGAAGTGAATGTTACACGGGGAAAAGTACAGCAATCAATATCACTGAAATATTCAGATAAATGAAAGTACCTTGTTCATGTTTATACTGCGACATAACAGTCAGTCCTTCCACTACAGCGCTTTTTTTGCCGGTTTATTTTTCTGTGATTTACACGATTGTGTTGCGCTTATTGTGATTACAGTTTTACTTATACTGTAACTTACGAAAAAAAAAACAAACAATTGAACGAAGGAAATAAGCGAATGCTAAAATAATAAAAATAAAATGCAAATAATCTTGAAAATAAGTAAGCAATAAAAAATATATTGAAAAAATTGTAATGTAGAACATTAAATGAAAAACTGGCAAAGAAAAAGGAAATAAAAAATGCTATGTTGCGAGGACGGCGTTTGTTGAATTAGTACGACGCACCCATCAAAGAAATGACGCATTGCACATTTGATCGATTTTCTGTCTGCCGGACACGCCCGGGATGCGCTGCCGCCGTTCCACAGGCGTATCGATTTTCTAGCAGGCGTCAGCGGACAGAATGAGCCCACTGGCACAAATTACAGTGCATTCCGTCAGAATCGCATTCCGTACCGGATTACTTAGCTGAATTCATCCGCATTGAGAAACGCCGTGGTTTTGTCGGCGGTGATTATGCTGGATTTATCACACTCCACTCGTCAGCACCATATGTGCGCTTTATCCCTGCCAGCTGAGGTCATCTATCGGCGTGCTGCAGGTAGTGATTTTCTTGATTAACAGCTGGCGCGGATCGGCGCAACTGATTCCAGGTATTACCATCACAAAACAATCGCGTTGCACTTCCGCTCTTGTCTACGATACTGTACTAGTAACTGTACAGCACTTGATCGACTCCATTTCTATCGCCTTCTTGCTCGTGGATATTTTCACCTTGCTGTTGCTCTTTATATTCTTAAGGGAAAAATTCCGGGACGTGGTTTAATTACATACTGAATCGGGGTTTTTTATGGAAGTGGGATAAACAATCTGCGTATACGAGAAAGCGCAAGCGATAAATTCCCGGTTGGTCAGTGGAATAAACAGTGAAAGCGCGAGTGATCGAGTTCTCGGTTGGTCAGACCAATCAGCTGCCCAGCTGTCATTCGTGTTCTGACATGTTTGCAGTCTGAATCAACGTGCAGGTTCTTCCGCGTCTGCAGTCCACAAGCAACTGTGATTTCTCCACTCTTTCTCTCGTCTCCAGTTGGACTCATTAATTTGGGAATTATTAGCGTGATAACTGGGTGGAAATTATCCATCACCGTGTGATCAGGAAGATGATGGAGGAGTCCGCGTCCGACGAGCAGGGCTGGGCTGACTTCACGCTGGCCAGCAGCCATTTTGACTTCGCCTCCTGCCCCTCCCCGCCCTCCTCCGCCGCGACACGTCCCACCCCCGACAGCTGCAGCGGGACGAGCCCGGTCGCGCGCTCTATCCCATGCAGCGGCGCGGAGTGGCTGGCGGAGACGGAGAGCCTGAGTCGCTCGGCGCCCGACTCGGCGCCGCTGTCGGAGGGATCGGGGACGGGCGCAACCTGGCGCTGGCCGGGCAGTCGCGGATCAACCGAACTGGTGGACTACGCGGAGGAGCATCCCCAGCCGCTGTCGCACACGGCCAGTCTGGACCGCTCGCTGTCCGCGTCGTCGGAGAGGGGGAATCTGATGGTGTTCGAGCAGGAGCAGGATGTCTGCTCGTTGGCCGATTTAGACGTCAGGTACTTACCAACTAGAAACTGATACGTAAAATTTACGTCCTGTACGGTTTGCCATTTTTTCTCGCTTCTGCCAGTTGAGAAGATTTTACTTTGTGATTTTATTTTAAAAGATTTATGGCTCTATCTTGTTGTAATTATTTGTTTGGATTTTATTTCAGTAAATCTGATTTTTTAAAAATGATTTTACTTTCATTTCGTTAATATAGGATTAATTTTATTTCAGTAAATTTAGTTAGTTCAACATCGGTAAATTTATGTTTTATAGAAATATTGATTTTTAATCAGCTGCTTTGTTTATTTTAATTTACTTATTTTACTGTTGAAAGAGACCGCTTATGCAACAGTAGCGAATTAATTTCTGTATTTGAACATACATAATAATTTATCAAATGGCGGCGGAAAAGCCGAACAGTTAATTATTTGCTTAATAACAATTTGTTAATCTGGATAATTTTTGTTCTGAACAATTTTGGTTCTGTAGCGGGTTACCAGGCATGAAGTGATAAAAATAATAATAATCTGTGAAATAGCACAAATACCTAGTATGAAAATAACCAGCAAATGGATGACAAATTAATGAATTACTACTGTGACGATATCTGATATGTAAATATTGTCCGACTGTATAAAATGCAAAATAAATATGTCATTGTTCGAACGCAGTGTTGTATGGTACAGGTCGGACAGCGAGTACCTGACGCGGCTGACGGAGATGGAGCAGGAGCAGGAGATGCTCAACTCCTCGCTCATGTCGCTGACCACGCACTTCGCCCAGGTCCAGTTCCGGCTGAAACAGATCAGCCTCGCCGACGACATGCAGGCCAAAGAGGTACATTCGCTGCACAATTTATTGCTAATGCCACAGTTAACAGGCAAACACCGCACCGGAAGTGCATGGCACTGCATGCTATTCGGCATACATAATTCTATTCTTTACATCCAAATGAAACAGGAAACGCTCGTAATTCGGCATAATATATTTTGTAGTTTGTACGATGTGGTAGAATTAGAACCATATACAACCGTATAATTATTGGGTGACTTTGCAGAAGTTAATTAAAGAACTGGAGCTGTTCGCGTTCGAAGGCTGCCCGGATGTGCGGGGTATGGCGCCGCGTCGGGCCTCCATTGAGGTTGGTCACTGCCGGTGCGCTGCATTTAGAAAGGCGGTGTGATTGTTTGCGCTGCATTGCAGACGACGGATGAGGACCACACGCAGCACTACGAGCAACAGGCGATGGAGACCAAGGAGCTCATCCAGCGCCTGCAGCGCCAGTTGACCGACGTCGAGCAGTGGGCCTACGAGGTACGAACGGCTCACAAATAATTATTAATAACGGGTCTAATAAAATTACACAAATGTGGATTAAATAAAAAAATATATATGAACGTGTAGAAAATAATTATTACAGTATTAAATAACACCACTTGAAAAATATAGAAATTAAATAAGATATTAATGGGCTTAAGAAAACGATAAAATAAAAAAATTTTAAAATTTAAAGTACTTAAATAAAAAATAAAAAATGTAAAGTTATGAAAATGTCGATACGGAAAATACTGAGCGGTTTTTTTAATTTTTCTTGGCAGAGCGGCCAGTCGGATGCGCCGTCGTTGGCCGTTCTGGAGAAGCAGCGCATGATCCTCGGCACCCTGCAGGAGCGCGTCAAGCTCAGTCTGGACGGACTGGAGCATCTCTCCCCGGAGGAGATGCGCCAGAAGGTCGACGAGGCGATCGAATCGGTGCGTCCGCTTACTAATTTCACCGCGTGCGTATATTGATTTTAAATACGTCGTGACAGATAATCTCCCCGTACCGGAAGAAGGAGCTCGCGCAGGAGCGCACCCTGACCAACCTCCAGACCTTCGTCGACGACCTGGAGCGCTACATCCAGCACATCCATAAAGGTGGGGTTTTCCCTGGAATTTCTCCATCGTCGTCGATAATCTAGATATTTTTCCGTTATTCAGCGCCGTCATCCTCCGGAAGTCCCGGGAAGCCAGTTCCCCCGTCGGCACTAACTACCGTCAGCCTGCCGCGGCCGGTCATCCGCCGCGAGACCCCGGGCGACGCCGCGCGGGAGCGGAAGAACAAGACGGTGACCTTTAATGACCCCACCGCGCCGGGCGGACTGCGGCGCATGGCCAGCCGCACCTACAGCGTCCTGGAGCTGATGGCCTGGAGCAACTGGACCTGTTGGAGTCAGCGCCGCTTCCACAAGAACGTCATGAAGACCACCTCCAAGGGCAACCACTGGGGGTGCGTCAGTGCGCCCTTCTCCTTCGTTTTAACTACGAAAATATTTAAACGCGATATTAATCAAGAGGATAAAAGTAGAAAATTAATAGTTAACAAATAATGAATAGCTAAAGATAATTAATAATAAATTCAGCGAAAATCGTGGTTACAGGGATGCGCGCGCGGCACTGGAACTGGCCATCTCTCAGGTCCTGGATTTAACTCAGGAGCGCGCCAAACTGAAAGTCCGTCGTAATGGGCGTGCGATGCAAGAGGTTATGCACATTGTCATGAACCACAAATTTTAGAAGTTTTGCCAAAAATTCTGATTTAAGTTTTATTAATTTAAATTTTAATTTCGTTAAATTAAATTTCACTTTTGCCAATTATCATTTGAACGTCCTTAATTTATAATCTGAATTGTATGCATTTTTAATTGATTTTTGCCAGTTGCTTAATGTGAATTACATTTAGATTGTAATGTGCATTTTGTAAAATCAATATTAATTTGAATTTTTTATTGTTGATTTTGAATTTGCCCATTTGTGTGAATTTGTTAGGCGGAGAAGCAGGTGATTGAGGAGCAGCTGCACAAAGCCATCCGCAAAGACCTGACGCTGGCGTTGTGCGCGCTGATGCAGCACGGACTGGCACACGTCAGTGGACTGAATTATTTCTTTATAAATCGCCGGTAAATGTCATGCGCGTTATCTACAGGTCAGCAACGAAACCAGCCTGGTGCCGCGGCTGGTCTGCGTCTCCCGCCGTCCCGAGTCCACGGAACTGCATGCCTGGGATTTTATCCTCAAGTATTTCCAGTACAAGGTCAGTTTCGCCGGTCGGGTGGATTTAATCAGACGGAAAATGCGAGACGGTGGTGTTATTTAAACAGAAAGGCGAGGATTTCAACCGGTCGGCGACGCGGCGTCTGGCCGACAGCTTCCAGCTGTCCAGCGTGGGCAGCCGGCAGATCAACCAGCCGGAAGCGCTCCTGGCCAGCATCGCCGACATCCTGCACGTCCACGGCAAACTGCAGCGCACTCCCCTCACCCTCATGAAGGCCTTCGTCTGCAGCGCGCTCAAGTACAGTGTTTTTCTTTGAATTTTATTTGTTTATCTGCGGTAATTTACCCTATTTACTGACTTGATTTATTTATTGAAATTAGCCTGTTTTACGCATAAGTGAGTCATTTTTTCTGTTAAGTGTAGATGTGTTCATTTAGCTAAACGCTCAATTTAACCGTATTTATTAAATTTTTGATTTACTGATTTAAATGCAAGTGAGGCATTTCAATTGAATTTTGAATAAGTCATGTATTTAATTCAATATACGGAATTACGGATACCCATATTTATTGCAGTTGACTGATTTATTTTTACGCCCATTTAGCCGTATCAGTTTAGTTGAATTACCTGATTAATTTTTATTTATTTGAATGCAGTAATTGGAAATTTTTTACTGAAGTGGATTTATTTATCGGCGGAGAAAACCTGCTGAACTATGTTGTCTATTAGAGCATTTTTTTTTATTTCGACATTACCTAATAAATTTGACTCAAGTGATTTATTCATGTGAATTTCTGTTCTGAACAAATTAATGTATTGAAACGACTGTTTAATCTAGACCTATTTATTGGCGTGTTAAAAGCGGCATTTGTATTGTGCAGCCAGAAGACCTTGGCGCCGTGGCTGCGCCTGATGTACTGCACGCAGCCGCTCGTGGAGGATTTCTACACGCCGTGGAGCTACGCCATGAAGACCCGTACGCACTGCCGGCATTATTTCACACCGCCAGTGTTTATCCTAATTTTTCGCAGATTTCGAGGACGCCTGCCAGTCGCTGGACAATTTAAGCCCCTTCGACTTCCACTTGCCGGTCGACCTGGCCGTGCGCCCCTTCCACGCGCTCTCCGACGCCTTCTAATGCAGTCTGTACCCTTGTCGCGCTGTCTTTCCGCCGACTGACGCATCATTTCCTCGAATTGTGCTTTTCTAACAGAATTTCTATGAATAAATTAAGCTTCCGTTGACAGTGGCTGCCGGCGATGTAATAATGATGTTATTAGTGCTTGTTCATGCGCTCAACCGGTGTGGTCGTGATTAATGCCTGCGGGACGTTTTCCGCGCTCTACCGATGACGGATGTTGTCTTAATAACAATTTCAGCCGATTATACCGTGTTTTTCCGTGAGATTACGGAAATTTGGCAGGCAGTCGGCGCTGGAAACGTGCGCGTGCCATTTGCAGTTATCTCGCCGTTGCGGATTACCGGCTTCAAAGTCTGTTGATTTGTGCACGAGTTGCGCCGTTTCCTCGTTTGCCTGTCATATTAGACAACCCGCATTATGGCCCGTGCGTTGATTATCCTGATGGGATGCGGCTGGATGTTGGCCGCGGTGGAGGCCGGCCTATGGGAAGGCAACCGCAACCTGGACGTCAACGTGCCCTGCTTCAGTCTGGGCAAGATCCGGCTGCCCAACGGCGACCTCTCGCAGGGCCTGATCAACTCCGGCAAGTGCACGTGCCGGCAGGCGCGTCTGCAGGCCGGTCTGCCGCAGTGTAAGTCCTCGGGGGAGACCCTCTCGTAGTGGACGCGCTGGTGATGTGGGTGTCGTTGCAGTGCAGGGCCAGACGCGCGGCTTCCAGCCGGACTGCGAGGCGGACGGGCGCTTCACCACGCAGCAGACGCTGACCAACACCGGCTACATCTGGACGGTGGACGCGCAGGGCAACCAGATCTCCACCTTCGGCCGGCAGAACGCCCTGCGCCCGGGGGCCGCCGCCCCGCGCCCGGCGGTGGCCAGTAATCCGTTGGTGGGCGGCGCCAGCCGGGCCGCCCAGGGACCGTACATCCTGCGGCCGCAGCAGTTCTTCAACCAGCAGTTCAAGTAGCATCGGCAGCGACTAGCATCCCGCACGGCTGCCGGGACTACTGCCTAGTGCCGACTCCATCTCGGTAGCGAATGTAATGCTAATTGTCTGCATATGGAGTCTGTCCATCGGCTTATTTATTTGGGACTGGGCTCAAGTGTGGCGTGTGTACTTGTACACTCAGTTAAGATTAGTCGACAATACCAGTATAGATTCTGTGATTGTGCGGGTTCAACAACGAGGTGCACTCGGTTTGTATTACTGATTTCATTGCATAATAGCCATTAATTCAATCACTTCCGGCGCTGAAAATTGCAACCGCCCAGAGTGGCAGCGAAAGCTATTAAACAGAATCGTCCGAAAGGTCAGCAAACTGAACGGCCTCCGTCACTGGGCGTTCAGCGGGGACTTCGACTGGGTGGTCCTCTGCATCCAGATCGATCTCTAGGTCTTGTCACTCCCTAAACATATTAACACACATACTGTATATGATTTTCACATACGTATACATCATAGATGTAATATTACATACAGTACATAGAATTTTGCTCAATTACACACACATATAATTTTGATCAAAGGAAGTTTTGAAGCGATCAGTTGACAGGAAAACTTGACCGGTGTAATTTCAACACAAGCGCTACTGAGATTTTATTTTTCAATATGTACAGCAACGAGCACCACTCAGTCTAATACAATCAAATGAAGAATTTGTCCCAGTTAACACGAGAAGGGACTGTGCATAATAAGCGCTGCTTACATCCCATTTGCTGCGGCACGACAGAATATGTCCTCCATCATTTCCAGCTCGGGCTGCGGCGACACCCATCATCACCGGAAACAGAGCGCCGAATGCTTCCGAACCGGGAACAAGGCGCTTCTTCTTTTGGCGTTCCTAATCGTCCGATTCACATTCATGTGGTTAAGTTTTCCATAGCAATCCTGCTCAACTTCGTCAGCGATACTGGATCGTTGGATCTCGGCAAGGACTACTGCGGTCCCGCGGCGCCCTCTGCAGTGTTGCGCGGGCACCACATGGAGTCCAAAGCGAAGACAGTCAGACGGGACAGCTGCGGCAGCGGGGTGCTGGGGAAGTCGGCGTGCTGCCATGCCGGTCCGCCCGGCTCCGTGCTGCAACACAAAACCTGCGAATGAACATGTACATACGCCGGTGACCTTTCATATTTTAATCCCAGAGCGCCGGAACCGCTTGGCACACACGGACACAGTTAAACGGGGTGTGCTGGTACGTACGCGGTGAAGAGATGGTGGAGGAAGTTCCAGTAGGTGTCGCGGGTGCGCCAGTACGCGTACATGTCCGTGGCCATGCGGCGCATCTCCGCCGGCGGCTCCGGGAGGGCGGCCTCCATGGCCGTCCGCATACTGGTCAGAATCGCGACGGCATCCTGACCGGCGCAGTCCAGACGCAGGAAGGGCAACGCCACCGGCAGCGGCGGCGCCGGGTCGCGGCGCAGGTAGGGCTCGTCGGTCAAGGGGGTAAAGTCCGCGCGCCGATGCGGTCGTCGATGGTGGAAATAGCAGACGGCATCGTTCTGGATGTAGTCGACCAGGATCAACTGGCCGCTGCACACGTCCATCAGCGGGGTCAGGTGGTGCAGGGGACAGTGGAGCGGCGCATCGGTGCTGGCTTGCAGTTGACTAAACAAGGGCCAGTGGGCGGGCAGTTCACCGCTGACGGCGCAGCGGTGGCAGATAATGCGCTGCAGCGCCGCGGCCGGCCGCAGCATTCTAACCACCCGCCAAATAACGCTGACGTCCGCGTTGCCGGTGCGGTGGCTGCGCTCGGCCTGCCAGTGCTGGCCGGGCCGCCACCGGCTCAGCACCAGCGTCTGCACCCGCTCGCGGCGCAGACCGCAGTGCAGCAGCTGGCCCAGCCGAAATGCTTCATCGTACATGTTAGCACTGCGCCGCCCACGCAGCCCCAAGTCCAGCACACAGTGCCGCTGCAGTACGGCGCAGCGGGCGGCCGCGTCGTTCCAGGCTGCACTGACCCTGCAACGGCGAATGCCGTCAATACTGCACCGGCAAACAGCGCAGTTATACCGCGCGTATATATGCGAATAGCCCAATTTGTTTACCGTTGCAGCCTGGTACGCGTGACGATATCCATCATGTCCAGCAGGCACTGGATGATTTCCAACGGCAAACCACCCAACCGCTCGCTGTCGCCGTCCCCATCATGCGAAATTGCAGTACAGTCGTACCCTGTGACAGCCGCATGAATACCCATATTATCGTTAGCCAATACGCCGTTCTGCAAGCAGCGCCGGACGCACTCCGTCAGCAACTCCACACTCCACGGGCGTTCATCCTCCTGACACTGCCAGATCAGGAACTTAACGGAATCCGCGCCGAGACGCATGAAATAGCGCGTGTACTGGATCCGGCGGAATCTCTGCCACGGCCGGCCATTCAGGGCCCGGCGCTGCGCCAGGAACACCGCGCGCCGCATCTCGAACTGCAGCCGGTTCTCTTCGATACTGTTGACGTGGGCCACGTCCAGCGTGTCCGTCGTGTAGGCGGCGTAGACGCCCTCGTAGGGCGACGCCGGGGGCTGCAGCAGCGGCCGCCGCGGCCACCGCTGCGCGGCAACATGGAGCGGAGGCAGGAGATGGCGCCGGCCGTCGGCCGTGGTCTGCACGTGCACGCAGCACATGGGCACGTGTTGGCGGTGGCAGCAGCCGGTGACGGCGGCGCGCCTGAAGATGAGCGGCGCGCCGGGATCGCTGCGCAGCGCCGCCCGCACCGTGTCGGCGTCCCGGCACGGCCCCGCGAGGAAATCGTGCGGGAAGACACGGTGGGCGGGCAGCCAGGCGGCCGGTAACGCGGTGCAGTGGAAGTTGACGTAGATCTGCTGCTGGTCATCGGCGATATCCTCGATGAAGCCCAGGTACCAGGCGCCGTCGTCCTGCAGCACCATGACGGTGTTGCCGCTGCTGACACTGCGGCTCAAGCGCCGGTACGGCCACGGTTCAAAGCCCACTTGACTGTTATATACCACGTCCGGTTCCATTCTAGCGCTGCAATTAACAATAATTGTTGTAGATAATTATGTTCTGTATATAAAGTACGTATATTGAAGTAATTATGTATACTGCATATAAAGTATGTATATTATCATTGCATCCGAGTAACGAGTACAGTACATCTTGTACTGTACACGATGTACCGGACCTACCGTTTAATGTGATCTGCTTCCCACTAGTCAGGAAATCTTCACGAAGATCTGCCTAGCTAGGAAAGTTTGACGATTCCTAAGGAATATGACTATGACGCCTTGTGAAACCCCGCGTATATTATATCCACTGTAACGGTCCATCTTGAAGGGGGATGTACAAATACCATAATTATATTTATCACGAGACAGCCAGCGCAGGAACGAAGGCAATTTATCCAGCGCAATCCCAGTTTCTAAAAAGGCAACACAAGAACCCACTGAGACGGCAATATAGCTATACTGTACAGTACTGGCATTTTGGCAGCTGGCTGTGTAATGTGTATAAGCGAGGAGTGGGACGCCGTCGCGATCGGTAACGTTAACGCCAATCATGCGGGATACAGATACGCGTGTCACGTGTGCATGTACTTCCTCCGCTATGGCAAGCAGTGTTAGCAGAGTGTAAAAAACACAGCCGGTACTTTGCGATTGCTTTATGCGGCTAGTTGTTTCGAAAACGGCTCGGTTTACATGTTCAGCAATGCATTAATCAGGTGACAGACAGAACATTTTGTGCAAAGTACGGTAATTCATTCACGCAGAGTTACAATGGAGGCTATAACACTGCAACAGACAGATCGTATGCAGCAGCTCGCAAACGCGAGCGCCAGCTTTATTTTAACGCGCAATGGCGCTAACCGGCTCGGGCATAGCAAGACGTTTCAACAGAACCAGACTAAGAGAATTCTAAACAGGTAGACAGCAAGCACATCTCTAGGGAAGGCGCCAATCCTCTGCTTCGACTGATCTCCCTGTATACTTCCATTTGGCACGATTGGTGCTGCGGACAATCACAGGCCTTTCAGTCCAAGCCGTTACTGAGTAGCCAGGGTGGTATTGTGATCCTCCATCTCCCGTGCCCGTCTCCTTGGTGGTATTGCTGCCTCAGCCAAGCACTTCGCACACAGGCCTTGCGGGCCGTGCACTCGCAGCCTGAACTCAGAGTGGTCACCCATCTAAGTCCAAACCGCGCTCGATGTAGACTATCTTTCAAAACCCGAAGGTTTATCCATCTAGCCACAACGAGTGTGCTCGACGTCGTGGCCCTGTGCGTCGTGCACCTGCCGCAGCCTGCATAGGGCAAAGCACACTGCACACGTGGAAACAGAGTGGGCGGAGCCAAGGAACGGACGCCTATATGACGCCTGCATCACGCCCACTTCCGCTTGTCGGCAATCGGCATCATATACTTCTATTACCATAATCAATTAATAATTATCATTAATAATCCCAATTCCAAGTGTATAAATCTTGTCGCCAATGTACAAATGGACCGGAAACGTGCAGTGTCCCATATATTATGCGATAGATAACGTACTACATAGACTGGTTGATATTCTCCGCAGACCACATTCCGAATGAACCACCGGCTTAGTTATGTTACTTATGTACAATTTGAACCGACAGTGAGTACGAGGATCAACACACAAAGCGTAAATAAATGTCAGACAGATGCCGAAAATTATTACCACAACACTGTCCCACAGACCGTACAGTACACCGGAGAAATTGTGCAATCTGGAGTCTGGACGCTCGATCCAGGGTGTAAATGCAGTTACACATTATACAGTGTTCTTGTTGACAATCGATAAAATTTTGTTAAGTGCATGCGGATTCCAAAGATCTGTACATTTCTGTTAGCAGTACTAATGTTTGTAACTTTTGTATCACGGAAATACAGCTCACCTATCGCGAAAAGTACATAATATGATTATTTTGTTTCAACTGCTGTAAAGTGGCTGCTATTGATGCCCGCTAATGATCACTGCACGGAGTAATAGATGTACAGCTTAGGACGAAATGGTCGCATACCCAACATATCTACATTCAGTACGAATGCAGCGCAGTCCACTGTACGACTGAGTTCAAAATATCCGGTTCGTACAAGTGCACTGCACCGCCTGCGTACAGAATGCTGGGTATGGGGATATGCGACCATTTCGTCCTACATTGTACTTAAAGCCAGAACAGATGTCATAATAATTACGTAGGATCGAGAAAGTTATACGGCTCTCAAGTGTACAACAACCAAACAGTAATAAATTGTCGATCAAAACCTGCGGAGATCAACGCCGTCCGGCGACTCTATCACACGCACTGGACGCGCGGGCGGGGTCGGCGCGTTGGCTGCTGATATCGGGACAGGGCTGATATCGGGACAGGCCGCGTTGCCTCCAGCTGCTCAGCTGCCGACAGCTTGCAGCACCCAACAACACGACACGCCACAGCCCCACTTCCGCCCGGAGCCGTGCGCTATCGTATCGCGGCACACGTAGCGTCTCGTCCTCGCGCCACTACCCATCCGCATCCCGACATCCGGGGCACAGCGTCGCCGGCGGGAACTGCTGTTTGGGGTAGTTCTCGTCCTCGGTAACATCCCCGGCTATAAACGCTTGTTGTTCCCGTTGTGCACGCGCCACAACAACAGGACGACGTTGCGCGGGGAGAGCATTTCCGTCTGGGATAATAATGCATTAGCCTCGCGCATGAAACTATCCCGGCACTCGCTGCAGAAGAACCGCCCAGGGCGTTGGCTTCGGCTTTCTCCCCGTTCTTCTCATGAAAGAGCTGCCATCCGGCGCATCTCCGACGGCGACCCTTGACAGTTGGCCCACGCAATCGGCGCCTGCGGCACATCCCACCCGGTCTCTTTCGATCCTGGCGGATTCCGTTAGGTCCGTGGATTGCAGCGTCTGCCGGAGAGTTTGGACAGGCCATTGACGGTTCGTGTCGAAGCTTGCGGAAGCAGAGATTACCGGTACGAATCGCATCGTGTACGTGTAAACACAAAGCCAGCAATGCCAGAGCGTTACGGCTGAAAGGTCACGACGGTCTGTCTGCTAATTATTATAACCTTCCACGGCTAATTGTTTTAAAGAGCCTCAAGGCCCTCAACATCAGAATGCACGTATGTACTTACGTTTATGGCGTTTAATATATCATGTTAATGTCATTTCCATTTTGATCTGGTTGACAATACCAGTATGGCAGTTCCAGTACTATTACGTGGTACCACTACCAGTTAAGTTCAACGCAAAGTTAAGTTCGATCAGTATAATGTGCTTCATCAGACTTAATACCTGACGTGTTCACGTGCGTTACTGACCCTCTCAGAATTCTACGCTGAGGCGCTGTGGAAATTATGGAAAGATAGATAGTAATTACTTGATAGTAGTGCTTTATTGAGGTTCGTATTGGACAATGTAATACAAGAATATCAATTAACAAAAACCATAACATCACTTCCGTTCCGCTAAATGAAAGGCACATCTTCCTTCTTTACCGTGTCGCTGAATGTACCGAGAACAGACACTGCATTTCCTCGCTGAATCTCAATACCAAATTTTTTGGCGTAAAAACTCTCCTGAGCGGGGGTTGCCTGTACTGTCGATAATCTTTCTCGACAGCTCTTTGAAGAATTTCTTCGTCAGTGGTCCGAACGTGCCGGTAGTTTCGAACGCCAGCGGTTGAACGATACAGCGGTCTGCCAGCCCGCTATACTTTCCTAACTTCCGGTTTTCTCGTATTTCCGCTGCACTTCCCGGCACCCTGGACGTCTGGGCGATGTACGTTTGGGCAAATGTGTCCGCCACGTTTACATCCCACACCAGCGGCTTTCCATTTTTTCAAGGAAATCAGTGCGCGCTTCATTGCTTCGTTCAAGACAGCGTGGACACCGTGTGTCCCTTTCGCTAACTTGCATACCAATCCGTGAAGTCCAACTACCGCACCGGTAAACATGCTTTTCAGAGACTGGAGCTCCCAGCCGCCGTGCCACGGCAATGCGCAAGTGTGCATTTTCCAATAAATTTCCGAAAATTGAAACGGGTAAAGCAGATAACTAGGTACGCGACTCCGGTGAGGATGCCGCCAACAGGCGGGCAGAGGTAAATACGTCGGCGTTACCCATCATGCGGGTCGCTGTCTGGGAGTGCTGCATGCTCTCCAAACCGACTGGAAACAGCGGCTTTCCGTACGCGGGGGCTCCATGGAGAAGCGATCTGTCCATGCTTCCGTAATTAGTTGTGGTACTTGATGTGTGTATTACTATTATATAAGCGATTACTGTGCTTGAGGCCATCTTTATCTCTGTTTATGCCGGAGACAAACGAACTGCTCTGTTCGCTCTTATTGGAATCTTTAAGGATGATGTTGATAAATTTTTTATCGAATAGTGTTTTAAACACAACAAGTTGTGCAAAAAAACGTTTTTACTTACAGTGGAACCTTCCATCTTGAACACCTCTGAACCCTGAACAACCCCGAATCTTAAACAATATTTTCGTACGCGCAGCTCTCGTAAGCTATAACATTGGGGTGGACCTCTGAACCCTGAACACCTCTGAATCCTGAACCTTGAACACTTGGCTGCGTACCACGACACGTTTACTTAGTAAAATGGACCTCCAACCGTGAACAGAGAGCTGCTTTGCGTTGTGTGCGAAGCAGCGAAAGCATCCGGATTCCGGATAGCGTTGAATGTGTTCACGGAGCTCATCGCAAGCAAATTATATAGCATAGAATAACGTTTAGTTCATACTTTACCGATTAGTAGCCTTAGTTTCAGTAAATGATTTTGAATATTAGACATAACGACGGACAAAAATAGCATAAGAATAACATAAAATCAACTTAACTATTAACTTCCGCCGGGAAATATATGTAAGAACGGTATATATCCTTTTGTTTATTATTGTACGCACTTGTATAATGTATATTACTCCGTCTGGAATTTTGTGCGCCCCCCAGGGGCAGCACTTCTGAACCCTGAACACCCCCGAACCTTGAACAAGAAACCCCGTACCGAGAGTGTTCAGGGTCGGGAGGTTCCACTGTATAAGCAAAAGTGCTGCACTTCATAATCTGTTTTCGAAAATGTGCGGCAGCAATGACACGAGCCGCCGTAAGTGGGCTTCCTTCACAACACTACTCGACAGCTGCAAAAGTCCACGGTGATGCAGTAAAAAGTTAACATACTTACTAATCATTACGACTTACAAATAACTTGTACTGCACTGCATTACACAGTATGTGATAGTATGTAAACTTTTACTTGTTTCCGGCCGCGCCCCCTTGACGATGGCAGATGAAAATATTTTTTAAGCATACTACAATAGTATACTACCTTTTTACAAAAAAAACGAAAATCTTCTGAATTTGGAGGATGCCTATGTGCCCTGATTAGATAGTTAAAGACTTTGCTAATACTGTAGTACTTTACTGTTAAACTGAATCAATAAATTGTTCGTAATTATTTTATGGCGCTTCTCCACTGACTAGAGAATCGTTAGAGTATAGTGTTATTTAATGATTAGAATCATTAGAGGATGATCACTTGTCCGTCTTGATTATTCTGATGTTTCATCAAAGAATGACAACGTGACACTTGTGGCGTCGGATTACAATTTTATTATAAGTGATCAGCGTTCAGCATTGCCCGAAACTGAAACTTTGACCAAACTTTTAAAAGATAGACAATGTTGCGTTTCGTTAATAAAGTACTTAATCGAATTTTGCTTTCTGTTTAGTTTGCGCTTGAGTTTAGCGATATTCTTATCATTTCTCATCAGCATTGCAACTGCTGCCACTACCAGAAGTCCAGTACCATTACCAGTAACAGTACCATTACGCAGCATCACTATCAGTAACATTTATTAGTACTACCCCAATTCTACAGGTCACATGGCCGTATTACCTGTAGAATTGTCATATATGACTCATAATATGAGGTCAGGTTCAGTCAGCTTTAGCTTTTGCTACTTCATTCTTTTCTAGGCCCTTTTGTGACGTGCAGGTCGGCTTGCCCTTTTTGCGGCGCCAAAATGTGGCCATTAATTCAAAGCAACTTCAATTACGTACTCTGTATTACCGCCGTTACAAGAAAACATAAGGAGAAAGCTGTGCACACCACGTTTTACCACCACCAGGCTGCGCACACCGCTATTCGCACCACGTTTTGTCTCGGGCCACCATTTTTACGCCACCACTATATATAATTATTTGAAACGTTGGTAGTCTCGGGACACCACATTTTACTCGTAGTTTCGAAGATATATTATGCAGTAGTCGGTCGTATATACGACTAATATGGGCTATGTAATTAAATTCTGTGTGCGTACAAAGAACAGCACTTTACTTAACATACGGTGTATCTAAGTTACAATGTTTTGGTTTTTTCGATATAGCGCAAGGCAAGCCTTTGATCATACAGCATGCGTAATTTGTAAGTAAGCCCAGAAAGTTCTTTGCAGCCACAGTTTACCATATTTACCATAATTACCAATTTTACTTCAACCAAGTGAACCACTTCCTGACCACCTGCTGGCATCGCGAGACAAAGGAAGTTTGGGTGTATGATAGTTTGGCGATGGAGCTTAACTGGCAGCTTAAAGAACAAATATGGCTGCTTTATGGGACGTCACTGCCGGAAGAGCAGATTACGGTTAGCCACAAGGCTATCCAAAACCAAGGAAACGGAATCGATTGTGCCCTTTACGCTTTAGCGTTTGCGCACGAGCTGCTCAATGAATTGACCCACAGGAGGGTTCCTTTTCTGGAAAAACCTTGAGGGAGTGGGTTATAACATTATTCGAAGCTAAACGTGTGCAAAAACTCAAACACCGTCCAAGGGCGGCCGAGCGAGTAAAACCGAAAAAAACGCTAACTATAACGGAAGCGGAGGCTAACGAGTGGTACCAAAAAAGAGGAGCCAGACCGCGAGACGAAAGAGCTGTCTTTTTTCCGCCCGTAATAACAATTGCTTAATTTTCATTCAAAATAGTGGTGTACAGAGACTCGGGTGGTGTGCAAAATATGCTCCTAGTGGTGTTAGGATCGGAGATTAAGGTGGTTTTTTCAAAAAAATTAAAAAATAATAAAAAGTGGTGTGCCGAGCCTGGCGGTGGTGTTTCGTGGTGTGCGGAGGCTTTGGTGGTGAAACGTGGTGTGCGGAGCCTTCCCCAAAACATAACTGGGTTTTAAACAAAATTAATAAAAATATTTACCTACCGGCTTGCTGGTTCACGCTTGGGCTGGACTCTTGGGATGAATACAATAGTTTCTCTCACAAAAAAAACAGACAGAAAATAAATCCAGATTCTCGTTTCTGCGATGGAAAACGCTATGCTGCCGGCAGTTTTCAACGTCTTCCTGGGTTTCTTGTTTGTGCATCCCTTAAATTAATGTCCTTATCGGGATCACATGGTGAAATTGCTCATAGCGAAACCCGGCTCCGTCTAAATACACCCCGTAAGAGTATATGGGTAACCGCTGAATTTGTGGAATATTTGCATCATTGGCCAATTACTGTTGCGTTTCCGCGGCGCCCTCCGCAGTGTTGCGCGGGCACCACATGGAGTCCAGAGCGAAGACAGTCAGACGGTCAGCTGCGGCAGCGGGGTGCTGGGGAAGTCGGCGTTCTCCCATGCCGGTCCGCCCGGCTCCGTGCTGCAAAACACAACCCTCGAATGAACATGTACTGACGCCGGTGACGTCTCATATTTTAATCCCAGGGCGCCGGAACCGCTTTTCACACACGGACACAGTTACACGGGGTGGGCTGGTACGTACGCGGTGAGGAGATGGCGGAGGAAGGGCCAGTAGGTGTCGCGCGTGCGCCAGTACTCGTACATGTCCGTGGCCATCCGGCGCATCTCCGCCGGCGGCTCCGGGAGGGCGGCCTCCATGGCCGTCCGCATACTGGTCAGAACCGCGACAGCGTCCTGGCCGCAGTCCAGACGCAAGAAGGGCACGGTCACCCGCAACGGCGGCGCCGGGTCGCGGCTCTGGTAGGGCTCGTCGGTCAAGGGACTCCAGTCGGAGTGGCAGAAGGGCCGGCAGTGATGGAAGGCTTGGACGGTGTCGTTCTGGACGTAGTCGACCAGGATCAGCTGGCCGCTGCACACGTCCATCAGCGGGGAAAGGTGGTGCAGGGGAAAGAAGGTCGGCCGATCGGCGCTGGCCCTCCATGCACAGTCCGACGACCACTGGGAGGGCAGCTCGCCACTGACGACGCAGCGGTGGCAGATGATGCGCTGTAGTGCCGCGGCCGGTGCCGGTCGGAGCATTCTGACCAGCTGCCGAATGACGGTCACGTCGCTGCTGCCCAGACGCAGGCTGCGCTCCGCCAGGCGGTGCTCGGCCGGCCGCCACCGGCTCAGCACCAGCGTCCGCACGCCAGGGCTCAGCCCGTGGTATACCAGTCGGCCCAGACGGTGCATTTCGTCCGCCTTGTTAGCACTGCGCACATTCAGCCCGAAATCCAGCACACACTGCCGGTGTCCCGAGCGGCAACGGGTGGCCACGTCGTGCCAGGCTGGACTAACCCTGTACATTAATCAAGAAAGGGATAGGCTGTGGGCGTGGTCAGCGCACACGGACTGTCGGTTAATTTTGATCGCAAAAGGGGTCGACATCCCTCGTGTGTAATTTAAACGTGTGAAAACATATTACAAGTACAGCCAGCATGTAACTATTCATGTTCAGAACTCGGGATGAATGAATGATGAGCATTAAACGGTACTATAATAACATTAAACGCTCCCAAGCTGCCATTTGTAATTTTATATCAGTGGCCGATAATACGGCATGTAGAGACATTCTTCAGACCATCAAGATAATAACAACACGTGTGTTGATACTAACTTGCTTACCGTTGTATCCTGGTGCGCGTGACGACATCCAGCACGTCCAGCAGGCTGTCGACGATTTCCAACGGCAGACGCGTCAGCCCGCCGCCGTCCTCCAGGGCAACCGTACTGCAGCAGTCAGGCGGTGTAATGCCTCGGTCGAGGGAGTCATTAGTCAATACCCCGTTGTGCAAGCAGCGCCGGACGCATTCCGACAGCATCTCGGCACTCCACGGGCAGTCGTCCTCCTGACGCCGCCAAATGAGAAACCTAACCGAATCCCGGTCCAGACGCATGTGATAGCGCGTATCCGGGGTCCGGCCGAATCTCTTCCGCGGCCGACCATTCAGTGCCCGGCACTGCGCAGCGTACACCGCGCATCTCATCTGGAACTGCAGCCGGTTCTCGTCGATGCAGTGGACGTGGGACACGTCCAGCGTGTCCGTCGTGTAGGCGGTGTAGACGCCCTCGTACGGCAGCGCCGGTGGCTGCAGCACCGTCCGGCGGGGCGGCTGCTCGGCGGCCATATGCAGCGGATGTAGGAGATGGCGCTGACTACCGGCCTCGGCCGGGGTCTGCACGCAGCACATGAGCCCATGACCGCTGCAGACGCCGACAACGGCGGCGGACTGAAAGAGCAGTGGGGCGTCGGGGTCACTGCGCAGCGCCCCCAGCACGGTGTGGAGGCTGCCGCCCGTCTCCGTGAAGAGGGCGTGCGGGAAGACGCAGTGGGCGGGCAGCCAGGCGGCCGGTAATGCGGTGCAGCGAAAGTTGACGAAGATTTGCTGCTGGTCGTCGGCAATGTCCTCGATGAAGCCCAGGTACCAGGCGTCGTGCAGCTGCACCATCACGGTGTTGCCGCTGCTGACGCTGCGGCCGGAGCGCCGGTACGGCCACGGTTCATAGCCCACTTGCAGTTGAAATTCCAAGTCCAGCTCCATCATGCCACTCTATAGCTACCGCGGCAACTCGTCCGGCTAGCGTACACAAGTAATTATGCGGCAGGATCAGGACGACGTATGATATATCCTATCATTCTATAATATGCAATGTATTGCGCCAAAGTGCATCTGATGGATTCGTCTGCAGCATTAATACAGCGCCATCCCACGGCGATGTACTAGATGTCTCCATCTTCAAACTGAGATCTCACCAGTGGCAAATAAGGAGCAAAATAGATCCCAGCTGGAAATAAGGAGATCAGAAGATTTAAGTCTCACGCTATCCATCCACTGCCAAGTGCTAGCTGACAGTATAAAAGTTAATATTATGAGCTGTGTAATCGTGACTCGTAAGTAGCTGTAGGAAGCCGTCGTTGACGATGCCGTCGATGCGGAATAACAGTTGGCGTGCATGCCACTGTGCAGTTGTCAGTCATATTCCACACCAGGGCACACTGGGAGGAGTAAAGAAATGCAAGCCGGTGTGATTCCATTGATCGCCAACAGTACTAAGTCTGTCCCGGCGTGTACATACACACTCACAGAACTGTCAGAGGTACACTCTAATTAAGTATAATAATTATACATACACCATTAGATATTATTATTATAGTTATACCCTATACTTACATAAGTACTTTAAGATTGTATGTCCTGGGTTCGATTCCTAGGTGGGGTACTTTTATCTCATAAAATCAAACCAAAAAAAGTATAAAAATTTCTAAACTAACCAAAAAATTTTTCCAATAGCCTGGTAAGATATCTCCGTTGAAAGGAGTTGGCTACTGTTGAGTGATAATAATAAAAATAATACTAATACAGTTTCTATCTGCCGTGTGCCTTACGTACGCTGCACAGTATACTTTAATTAGTAAGCATACTGTACTAGTATGCATGTACAGAGTATGTACACCGTTGTCTTTTACAATTAAATTTTGACCACTGATATAAGTATACTGTATAATTGATGATATAAGGGGACTTCCATGTCGCCTTATTTACAACGACATACTAAAACTGATATGCACCTTTCCTGTCTTTGCTCCAGCTGCTGGTGTACAGACTGTACTTAACCACTGACCACTTTCTCCACAGCGCTGTATCGGAGCACCAACCTGTTTCTTGAATTTTCCGCAGCGTTTTTCCATTCCCATTCCCACAATAAAATACCATTCCATATATAAAGTACTATCCCAATTACTAATTCTTGCCACTCGTCAATGACGATTACGAGCCTCCAGTTAACAAATTGTAAGATGTCTCACAATTACAGTTCCTAGTGTACGCAGTGCTAGTAGATTAGAAAGATTTTCTCCTGGATAGGAGATAGGTAATAACTGAATAAATTCATAATAACTGAATACGTAATTCAGCCTGTTACCTGGTATTGGGAATCGGGAATTGGTATTGGGAAGAAAATTGGGAATAGCTTTGGGGGATTGTACGGTATATCTATATATGGGAATCATATTTTATGGTGGGGCGATTCGTCATACACATAATTATGATATTACTGTAGTCGTGCTGCGAAACATGCGAATAAGCATGTACTTTAGCCGGTGACCTTTCATATTTTTATCCGCCGCGCAAACATGGACATCTCCAGTTATCCTTTCCATTTCCGGCTTCAAACCATTAGAAACGGTTGGAATAAATTTCATGTGAACAATTACATAGCTTTAGGTACCGACGTATCTGTAAGAAAACACATGATTGGAGTGACTGTTGAAAGTAACGATTGAAATATGGAAGAAAGGCAGAAAATTTTTTTATAATTCACTACTGTGTACTATTAACATTTCTTTTGTTTGTTCTTTTTTATAACAGAAACATATCTGGATCATATATGTTTTATTTTGAATCAGTTATTTATTTCATTTCAAAATTCTTTTCAGAATTAAACTAAACTTGGACAATTCGAGACGGTTGGAAATGCGATTTAATACGATGTGAGCGGCAGCAAGACCGGATGCACGTACAGTATCTGTACGTAGGTGCGACATAAAAATAGAGAAATACTGCACATAGAACGATTCTTTGTTTAATTTACGGCGGAACTCGAGTACAAACCATAACAGCCAAGGGGCGCACATACAGATACGTGCTTATACTAAAAACAGCGGAAAGTACGGACGCGGGCACAATACTTCACAATCAACATTTTCTCCAACAAAGTACCGTACGTCCGCACCATTCTAACCACCCGCCAAATAACGCTGACGTCCGTGTTGCAGGTGCGGTGGCTGCGCTCGGTCTGCCAGTGCTCGCCGGTGGCGCCGGGCCGCCACCGGCTCAGCACCGGCGTCTGCATACAAGGCCGGCCATTCAGCGCCCGGCGCTGCGCAACAACTGCGCTGCGCGCCGCAACAGTTTTTTAACCAGCAGTTCAAGTAGCACGACTATCGGTATCATCCATCAGCAGTGCTGGTTACGCAATTCTCGTAATACATAAAGGAATATGCTGTATACATGCAGCTTGCTCACTGCGCAGTTGCGAGCGTATACGTACGTCGTGTGAATCTACGAGTCGGTTTCAAACAGATCCCGTCGGTTTCACCACTATATTTATTTCTGTGAGGAGGAGTGGCCTCCCCGTACGCCCGCACTGGTGCGGGTGCTAAGTTGTTTTGCTGTATTCTGATGTTGAATTTCTTCATCTACCAGATCTTCAATCTGGTAGATTCTTCAGTTGCTAGCCATCGTCGTCTGAGTAACTTGCTGCTCTTTTGGCCCCGCAGCATTCTGCTGCGGGAGCTTCTGTAGTACCATGTGAATGGGATAAAGTGTGCAGTTGATTGTCGGGTGTCTTGCGTTTCCGCATAACTCGTAGTATACAACACTGCTCACTCTACAGGATAGATTCCGTTTCTGTCTCTGTCCGTGGATTCTTCCTAGATCCACCATC